ACAGCTCTGCTAAGTAAACAGCTACTTGGTCACTAACAGGCAGGTAGCATATACCAGGTGGATACCCTGGACAAAGGGAAACTTCACATCCCAGGTGGGGATGGAGCAGAGGGTGCGAAATGCTACCATGCTACTCAAAGCAACATGTATCCTAAATCTTACACATTCTTCGTTTCTGGAATTTTCCATCCAACATTTCAGAGCGTGGTTAGCCATGGGTCACTGATGCCGTGGGAAACAAAACCACAGCTAAGGGAAGAGCCTCAGTGTCACCCTCCTGAACTTGGCAGTGCAGCCTGGCTGGCCAGCATTGCTGTACAATCTTACTCTACTCACCTCCGAGGCTGCTGGCCCCCCACAGGAGGTTCTCCAGAGCCGCCCACAGCCTTCCTCCTTGGAGCTGCCCACAGCCTTCCTCCCCAGCCCTCCTCCCAATGGCTGCCCACAGCCCTCCTTCCTGGAGCTGCCCACAGCCCTCCTTCCTGGAGCTGCCCACAGCCGTCCTCCTTGGAGCTGCCCACAGCCCTCCTCCCCAGCCCTCCTCCCAATGGCTGCCCACAGCCCTCCTCCTAGGAGCTGCCCACAGCCCTCCTCCTTGGAACTGCCCACAGCCCTTCTCCCCAGTGCTCCTCCCCAGGGCTGCCCACAGCCCTCCTCCTTGGAACTGCCCACAGCCCTCCTCCCCAGTGCTCTTCCCCAGGGTTGCCCACAGCCCTCCTCCTTGGAGCTGCCCACAGCCCTCCTTCCCAGTGCCACATTTCTCTGCTTCTCTTGCTGTGGAATTTTTCCACCAGCAGTTTGCGCAGGGCAGTCTGGGAAGGCTGAGGTTTGGTACCTGGGTCCCCAAGTCCTGGGGGAGGAGTCGACAGCTGCCTGGTCCTCTCCAGGTTCCCTCCAGCTCCTGGCAAGTCCCCAGTGGGCTGACCCATCGCTCACCATGGTAGCCAGCTCTTCGTTAAAGCGCTGCGTGCAGACTCCCCCCGACACAGAGTGCTTCCCACATTCCTTCCCAGCAGCCAGCTCTTCCTTGAGGTTTGCTTTGCCAGGACTCACACCAAGTCTGGATTACAAACAACTCTCAATTTCCCACAATCGGAATTCCTAGGAAACGCCCCTGCTCCGACTCGAGCCTTCAGCTCAGAAATGTGCCTTCTCGGGCACATGGCCCCCTTCGGTCTCTTTTATTAAGCTATTTTGCTTGTTCACATCTTCTGGAAAAAAGCATGCAAATGCATTACTCTTTGGAAGGCTGCAGAGCAGGTTCCCTCTGCAAAGGCCTGGACTGGATGCCCTCCAGGAGGCGGTGACCCCTGAGACAGGCAGGATGGCAGGACCTACTTTCCATCCGGGAATTCCTTGGCAGGTATCCTCCTCCAAGAGGCTAAAAAAAAAAAAAAAAAAATGTGTTCATGTGTTTGAAAGGCACGGTCACGGGAAGAGACAAAGACATTTTGCATCCACTCATTCACTTCCCAAACAGCCGCGACAGGCAGGGCTGGTGCAGCCCAGGGCCAGGAGCTCACAGGGCTGGCAACGGGGCCATTTTCTGCTGTGTTCCCAGGCACATGAGCAGGGAGCTGGTTCGGAAGCAAAGCAGCCAGAACTCACATCAGCCCTCTGAGAGGTGTTGTTGGTTGTGGTGGCAGGCCTGACTGCATCTTTAGAACACCATTTCTGGGGCTGGTCCAGTGACACAGTGGCTAAAGCCACCTTCTGTGACAGCAGCACCCCACATGATCCCAGCTGCCCAGCTGCTCCACTTCCAATCCAGCTCCCAGGTGGTGGCTTGGGGAAGGAGTGGAGGACGGCCAAAGTGCTTGGATCCCCACAGCCACGTGAGATCCCTGGAGTAAGCGCCTGACTCCTGGCTTTGGCTCAGCATCGGCCTTTGTAGCCGTCTAGGTAGTGAAGCAGCGGATGGAAGATCTGTGTGTGTGTGTGTGTGTGTGTGTGTGTGTGTGTGTGTGTGTCTTCTTCTCTATTGCCCTCTCAGTCTGCAACTGAGCCTTTCAAATAAATATAAAAAAAAATCCTTAAAGAAATAAACTTTTTAAAAATGTTACTCCCTGAAACACAGCAGCAGCTCCACGCCCATACTCCATACCTGCCTTCCCTTCCCTGGCTCACTCCCCAGCTGTTCATCCTGCTTCCCCCGACCCCCCACCATGAATAATTTCTTGAAGCTGAGTTGTTAGTTCTAAGGATGCTTCAGGAAGAATCTAGAAAACAGCGGCAGACCAGGGACCAGGATACCTGCCTTATGTCCACGTGGCACACATTCCCCCACGGGATCACTGGGAAGCGCGCAGTCAGAAGCCTGGTCTGCAGGATCTAGGAGCCAGAGCGGCTTGCCCCTCGAGGCTGGTGCAGTGTGTCTGGCAGATCCTGATTCCCTGAGGCCATGGCGGCTGAGGACATGGCTCAGTGGCCCTGGGAGGGAAGCAGGGGTCACACTCACCCAGTTCAGCCGGTCCCTCAAGCAGAGTCGGCGCGTGGGGAGGCCCTGAAGGTGTCCAAAGAGGCACGTTGCTGAGCCGGGAGCCGAAGACCTACCACCCGCACACCGCGCCCCCTGCCTCGACTGAGACCGCAGCGGAGGGCAGCAGGTGAACAGACCTTGCCAGAAGGTGTGGCCCCCCAAAGTGGCCAGAGTTGAGTCAAATCTCTTAGAAACCCCAAGGAGCCAGCTACTAGATGGAAGGAGTCAGGGCACGCAGGGTGTTCGTCCACACGGGGGATGTGGGGAGTTGCCAAAAAAAGCCAGACCTCAAGGGGAACTCAGATTTCCCCAGAGGGGAGTTGGCCTGGAGAAACTGCCGCAGATGGGGCTCAGATCAGGGCCAGGGAGCGAGAGCAGAAGCCAGGGAAACCCTGGCCTGGGGAGACCAGCATGGAGCTGCCCCAGGCTGCTGTGGACTGGAGGGAGAGGAGTAGGACAGAGGGGCAGGTCAGAGGTCAGGCCAGGGACCTCAAGGGACGGGTCAGAGGTCAGGCCAGCACCCTCGCCTCCAGCCCACACCAGGTCTAAGAACAGAACAGCTCTGAACAGGACCTGAGGTCACACTTTACACCCAATGCCGATGGCGTTGATAACTGGAGACGGCGAGGAACTGGTCGTGAGCCGCCAGCCTGCCTCTGGGGCTGCCCAGCCCTTGGGTTGCTGCCCAATCCGGAGACTGCCCAGCCCTTGGGTTGCTGCCCCATCCGGGGGCTGCCCAGCCCTTGGGTTGCTGCCCAGTCCGGGGGCTGCCCAGCACTGGTGGCTAGCAGCAAGTGAGGGAAGGAAGCAGGTCCTGTAAGCAGGGTTGTGTTGTGGGTTAGACTGTGAACCCCAGAAAAGAAGGTGCTAGCGTTTTTTGCCCAGGGACCTTCGAATCTGTGTTTGCCCCTATGGGTGACCTTGCCTGAGACCCATGCTGGCCTCTCCAAGGGGCGGGAACCCTTGGGCCAGCGTCACTGAGAACACTGCACCAGTGGGGCCATGCGTTACGAGGGGACTCGTGCTGTGCCCGGGGTCATCGTGGGTCCTCCAGATGGGTCATTCCTGGTGGTCTCTTGAGGTGAACAGGGCTGGGTATGAACAAACGGAGAAGGACCCCACTCCTGGGATGGGAGAGGTGTCCCAGGAGGCCCCCGAGATAGGAGGTGGTCCAAGGTGCACCCGATTTTGGGGCATCCCCTGGAGTGGTCTGAGACTCCTCTGGGCCCTATGTTCCCCTAGGCTGGCGCCATAGGCCATGAACCCCAACTCTTTCCTGGATTCTCATAAATTGCAGACAAAGGTCTCCCTGTCCACTCACCCCTGCCCCACTCGCCCTCGCTTCAGTGGACACAGCCCTGTGCCTAGCAGCCATAGGACTCACTTTGACAATCTAGAACTTTCCCTCAGGAGTCTGCATGGGAATGCCAAGGGTAACACTCGGGGTCCCCAGTCTGACCCACTTCCCCAGCCTTCCAGACACCCTCTCCCTGTCCACAAACCCACGCACCCACCCACCATGTGTCAACTGGAACCCTCGGCCCTGCTGTCCCAAAGGCCATAATCACTGCCTGAGTCCGCCTCCAGCCCTGGCTCAGGACCCGTGTTTACCAAGTAATTTCTGGGTCCTTCTTAAGCAGGTGGCCATTCCAAGGTGTTGGTTTCTTATGGCATTCCCCAGCATAGGAAGGAAAGGTTCTTTAGGAGGAAGAAAATGCCAATACAAGACTCGGGGACTCCCCTGGGCTGCCCACTGTGAGCAAACAAACCCCAGCATGGTGCCGCACATCCTGCCCGCCCAGAAGCAGACCAGCAAGCCAGGAACACCACGCCTACCACACTTTCCACATACTTTATTTAAAAAGTTCTTTTGTATAAATTTCCTAAACATTTAAAAATTAAAATTAACCCCACCCCTGCACCAAAAAAAAAAAAACAAAAACAAAAAAACAAAACGAAAAAAGGTCATCACACAACATTAGAGGAACACCAGGAATCTTCTTTGATGACGTGTTCGCACGCGTTCCTGCAGGCGTTGGTCCCAACAGTGCGGAGAGAGCGAGGGATCGCGCTTCCTTCTAACTGAGGTCTGTGGGCTGCTGGAGAGGGACGCTGAGCCAGAAGCCTGGGCCAGGAGGGGAGGACGACGCTGGCCTCTCCTCTCTTCCATCTAACGCTGCGCTTCATCAGGAGGGCCAAGAGCTCAGCAAAAGCAGACAGAGTAGCTGTGGCTTCAGGATTATGTGCTAGGCCTCACGTGTGTCCGAAGCAGAAGAGTTCACATGAGCCCCAGCGGCAGAGAGCGGATACACGGCGGTCCCAGCGCACGGGGAAGCACCTGCAGAGGGACAGCGGGGGTCCGCAGGCGGCTTAGCACCATATCAAAGTCACGCGGCAGCAGGTGGCTCCCCAGCTGGCGTGTCAGTCAAGGCCGGGCAGGCCCCGTTTGCGGGATCCCCTTCCCGGAGCTTCAACAAGGCTGACCGCTGCTTCTAGAGGTATATGCTGCCCGCCACGCAGCTTAGGTGCCCATGACGTTGATGGCCTCCGGCTTGGCAAGTGGCAAGTCTGGGGACAGCAGTGGGGGGTGGGGGAGCAGGGAGAGAAGAGAGGAGAAGACACATCAGTCACCAGGAAAGGCATCGCTCACCACGTCCCACGGTCACCACATCCCACGATCTCACAGCCTTGGACGCAAACCTCCCGCTTTCCAACTCAGTCCTGAGCAAGACCCTGGCTGGGCTTTGGGGGTCTCTCCAGCCTGGGGCCCTGCATCATCCACCAGCCTCTTGCAGGCCGAACCCTCCACAGCCTCCACCTCTCGCTCTAAGTCACTCCCATTACCCGTCACACCGCCTGCCGTCATGGAGACCTTGCACGCCCCAGCGCTAGCTGGGAAACAAAGTCATTTCAAGATGAATCAGGGTGGGCGGGTCACGTGTTCACCATTACCTGTGACTGTGCATCACACTACAGATGGGCAAAAGTACAGCTTCAGGAAGCAAGCCCAAGCCACAGGGCCAGGACCCGGATCCTCCTCTCTGCCATAACTTGGCCGTCTGTGGCGGTGAGGGCCACCCTGGCCTTGGAGGTGAGCAGCCCACGCCGCAGGAAGCCAGCCACTCACCGGGGGCACAGAGCTTCTCGCACTCCTCCTGGTTGCTGAAGTTGTTCTCGTTTCCACCGCAGCCTCCGTACCAGAACCTGGCGCAGCTCTCGGTCTTGGCATCGTAGTACCACTTCAGGACGAAGTCCCTGCAAGTCCCCGTCTCCTTCGGGAGCTTACAGATGTCTTCAACAAGACAGGCACCACCAGCATGAGACCCTGCAAGCTGCCCCGCACCCCGCACCCCGCACCCAGGGCTGGCAGCCCCCTCGCCACCAGAGCTTTGTCCAGGAGGGGAGTTGCCCCCAGACTCGCCGAGCCACAGCTTCCTGGCTTCCCTAGGGGCCTGGGGCTCACAGCACAGTAGATTAAGCCGCAGCCTGGGGAGTCTACATCCCAAATCAGAGTGCTGCTGGGAGTCCCAGCTACTCCATTTCCCATCCAGCTACTCCATCCCCCACCAGCTGCCTGCCAATGTACCTGGGACCACAGCACATCAGAAACCTGTATGCGCATGGGAGACCAGGAAGGAGCCCCAGGCTCCTACCCACAGCCTGGCCCAGTTGTTGTGGCCATTTAAGGCATAAACCAACAGACAGAAGATCTCCCTCCCTCCCTCTTCTCTTTCTGTGTCTCTACCTTTGAGACCCTGCCTTTCAAATACATAAATAAAATTTGTTTTAAAGAAGTGTTTAAAACCAACCACTCAGCCTGCCAAACCATAGCTATCTTGTTTGGAAATTTTAAAACGAAACGAGCTGAGCCCTTCTTCTGGGTCACCAAAGCCTCCGACTTCCCTAAGAAACCAAATTTCACCTCAGTGTTTTTACCCCTGGCGAGATGACAATCAGATACTGCCTGAACATCAGCTACAAATGACGCTGGCCAAGGAGGGGAAGTCACTGCATGCGTGACCAGCCGTGGGCTTCCACGACGGACAGCTGGCACTGACATGAACACACATGACAGGAAAGTGCCCTGCGGCACAGCTACGCCACAGGCAGAGCAGTGTCCCCACCCCGAGAAAGAAAGCCAGGGTTTAAACGCTCGCAGCCGACATGCCCGGTGAAAAAGCGAAGCAGAGGCCCCTCAACTGTGGACAGAGCAGCCAGCACCCACAGAAGACTTCTCTTAAGGGGCTTCCTGGCCAACTCCGGATGGCACTGGGCAAGGCCAGCGCTGACGTCAGCTGTCATCTCAGGCTTGAAAACTGTAAGCCTTCTTTCACCAGAACCACCCAGTCAGTAGCACTGTGTGTCTGTGTGAACAACGAATGGGCCTGAACCTTCTGGAAGGCCCACCAATGGCTGAGCAGGCATGCCCGGCCTGACCGATCCCCAGCAGCACAAGGGAAACGCAAGCAACAGGTCACTACTGAAAGCCGGGGACACCCCGATGGAAGGAATCGGGAGACTCCAAGTCTCTCTGGACCGTCCCCTGGGTGCCACCGGGCAGAGGTGCAGGGGGAGAGCTGTCGCACGTGCATAGGGGGAGAGGGGTCTACAATAACAACACGCAGAGGACAAGCACAGCCCTCTCTCAAACACAGCCCCGGTGGGAGCCAGGGCAAGCAGGGTCACCAAAGGCCTTGAACCCAAGCACGTATTCCTGGTGTACCAGTGGCTTCCCCCGTTGACGGGAGGCCCAGCCCCAGCGGCAGCTCATGCCCTCCCCTCCCCCACACCAGACAGTCCCTTGGTTCCAGGGGTCAGCTGTGCTCAGCTGCACAGTGTATTTGGCCTCGTGCAAGGACACCACAGCGGGAGGACCCGGGGCAGCCACTCAGCCCCTGGATCCCACCCCCACCAGCCAGGGTGGACCCTCAGCACGTGTATTCTCTCCTCGCTCCAGGAAGAGTCACTGTAAACACACGGTGAGGTCCATCAACAGGAAGCAAGCTCCCTTCAGAAAGCACATGGAAATGTGTGCGACAAAGACAGCCAAGCAGAGCAAATATTTGTCGCTATTTCGTTTACCTTAATGTGTAGAGTCAAGCTAATTCTTTAAGTTATCATTGACAAGGGTAGGCTTTTGACCCATGTCCCATGTCGGAGTGCTGGGCTTCAGGTTCTGAGTCCAGCTTCCTGCTTAAGCACACTCAGAGAGCCAGCAGGTGATGGTTCTCACAGCTGGCTTCCTGTCACCTACAGGGGAGACCTGGGTGGAGTTCTTGATTCCCTGACTCTCACATGAAGTAACTGAAGCAGCAGGCAGGGGCCTAGCACAGCTGTGTGAAGGCGCATCTTCCACCTGCAGCACCAGCATGCCATGTGAGTGTCATTCATGCTTAGATGTTCCACTTCCCATCCAGCTCCTTGCTTATGGGCCTGGAAAAGCAGCGGAGCATGGCTCAAGTCCTTGGGTTCTGCACCCAAGTGAGAGACCCAGAAGAGGCTCCAGATTCCTGACTTTGGATTGGCCCAGCTCCAGCCACTGCAGCCTTTCGGGTTGTGAGCCCATGGTAGACTGCCATGGGTAGGGAGCCAGCGGGCCACAGAATGGTGACTGGGCATCTCTTCCCAGTGCATAGGAAGGCACCAAGGTCAGAGGGCTGTTTCATGGGGGTGTCCCTTAACTTTGGTTCCAAAGAACAGATACGCTAACTGCTTCACGGGAGTCACTCCCCACTGCAACACAGGGTGCCTGCCCAGCCCTGTGGACACCTCAGGCTTGCTGACACAGCCAGTCTTCACCTCTGCCTGCTACGCCCCACCCTGGCTGTGGGACACAGTAGCTCCACACCACAGGCTCACCACACCACCTCTGCTCTCGCATCACGAGCCTAGGTTAAATTCCCAACAAACGAGCTCCCACTGAACAGGAACTTGATGGCTGTAAAGCACCCGGGCTCCCTGGGCAGGAGCCATCAGAACCAGGAGCCGAGTGCTTCCCTGTGGCCTCGCCCATCGCATCTCCCAGGGCCGAATGTCCTGAAGACAGACACATTCATACAAGTAGTGAGAAGTCAGGAACAGCAGCCGGTGCTGAGGACGAGGAAGGGCCCGCCTGCGTGTAAAACAACGGCCATCGGGCAGCCCACGTACACACACAAGCTCGTCTTCACACTCAGGCTTGACTGAACTGTCTAGAAAATACATTTTTGGAGAAATAGTGCACGTGGTCATCACTGACATTTGCACAGAAGATCCTAGTCACCACCAAGGATGTGACTACAGTCTTGTGCAAAGACTCGTTGCCACATACCTCTCTGCCTCCAGATTTCGGTGCGTCTGTAATAAACAGACTACATAAGAATGCTGACAACAGATAACAACCTCCAATACCCTGCCCTTTCCCTCTCTCTGCATCCCAGGTCTGCAGGAAGCTGACCTTTGCTATCGACGCTCAAGCCAAGAAGCTGGTGTCCCAGCAGAGCCCTGTTCTGAGCCCGGGTGGCGAGTGTCTGGAGACACTGTTTACACGTCTCATCCCTCCAGGCCACATAGATGGGAGCCAGAAATGGCCTGCATTCCTGGACGCATCAGGCCCTGTCCATCTCCCTGCAGAAGCGATGGGGTTCATGCTTCCCTCGGGGTTTCTCTTTGGACTCCAGCACCAGCATGGGACCGCTGCAAGGCTGCCCCAGCGCAAGAGTCACAGACCTGACCCTGAGTCCGTGGTGTGGAGTTCGGACAGCGGGGACAAGCAGAGAGCTCGGACAGCGGGGACAGGCAGACAGCTCGGACAGCGGGGACGGGCAGAGAGCTCCGAAGGGATCGGGCAGACAGCTCTGGCAGAAACCCCCACCAATTCAACCCCACACAAGCCTGCTTCTGCCTTTGGTTTGTTTGAGGTTTTAGTTTTTGCCAAATCTTCTGTATATAGTCTTTAAGGAGGTACAACTCAATTGTCCGACGTGCCATGACTCATTTCCATACGTTGTATCAAGAACGTTCTGGTTTTCGGTCACTCTTCCCCTCAGAAAAGCTGGAGAACATTGACAACCAAGGGGATGTTTCCAGTAGAGACCAGGCGACTCTGAGGACTCGCAGTTCTCCAGGAAGACCCTCCTGTCGGCCATCTGTGCGGCCCGTGGCCCCACTGCACCTGAACTGACACCTCTGCATTCTCTCGGATCACACCTGGTGCTCAGGTCAACACGGAGTGTGACCCCAGACAGGGCTACGGAGACAGACAGATGGTAGTCGGCAATGACAGATGACAGGTGGTAAGGAGAGAGTTGCATAGATGAGTCTTTGAAAGGTTCATGGTTGTGCATATTCTGGAAAAAGTATGCACAGACTTCAAACTTTGCACCCAAATCAACTTACTCCAGATTTCCATAGATGTGTTGAAGTCCCCCCATAGCGGAGGGTCTGCCAGTGCAAGAAAGCCCTCTGGCAAGCCAAGTGGGCCCCAAGGCCACAGCCCCTCCACTGACCTCAGAGAGCCAGGTGTGGAATCAGAAACGCTGAGAATCCTGGCTCTAATTTAAACACGGTGGCAACAGGACAGAGGTACAGAAAGGGAAAGTAGGGAAGCAAGCATCGGCTTCTACAACGCGGAGAGGAAGGAGTGAGCGGGGCATGTGTGTGACGTGCAGCTGGCTCTGAGGACGCCTATCCAGCAGGCCAGAAGTCCACAAGTGGAGCAGCCGTGCAGCTGCTCTGCCATGCAGCTCACTAGGGAACAACAAGGCGTCCAGCAAATGCCTCTCCTAGTGGATTGCACAAGTAACCACTGTGCCCAGTGGGCTTCCCTCCTCTCGCTGTGACCGCTGGACCAAAGCATGTAAGAGATGCCAAGCCCTCCTGGCTCCAGAATCTGTAAGTCAACATTATTATCTGATATTCCTGGGGAATGTGGACACTTCGTGTATTACCAGTGTCTTCTGCTGACCCCTCTGCATGAAGCAGATCGACCCTGCAGTCATTGCCTTCTCACAGTCAAGCCAAACTGACACAGGGCAGAGAGGGAAGTCCCAGGTCCCTCCGAGTCCTGGTGCCCAGGGCCAAAGTAGCAGCTGTCGCCACCCTCCAGTCACATCTACAAAGTCACTAACTCGATGTAAAAGGCGCATGCAGTCAGGTTCAGACACCCAGGAGAGTGGCCTCCTAAATGAAGCCAGGGAGTGTGCAGAGGGAGGCAGGGCCACAACAGGCAAGTGCCTCTTCTTAAAACTAGATTAAACCACTGAATGGGTGCAGCGTCCTCGGTAGCCCTGGGGCTCACACATCAGCTCTGGTCCCATTTGAGGCACTGGGAAGTGACTGGGGACAGACAAGGTGGTTCTCCAGTCACACCTGGGAAATAGCAGAATAGACTGGACAGCACCCATCTGAAGCTGCAACCCCCCAGAAGCCCTGAAAGCCAGACGTGGACACATCAGGAACCACAGTGTCCCCGGCGCCAGGGATGGGCCACCCTCTTGTCAGCTCACCTGTCGCAGTGAGAGCCAGCGGCTCTGTGTTCACCATGAGGTTGATGGTGGCGCTGGAGGCTGACCTCGCCAGCTGTTGTGCCGCAGGCTGCGGATTCTCTGGAGAAGAGCGTGGGAAAAGAGCAGGCAAGTCAGAACCGACGGCTGAGGAGCCTGCAGCACCCGCTATACCATCACCATTGGGTTGTCTGATAAAACCTGGAAGTGACCCAGTCCCCAGGATCAATGATGCTTTGAAAGTGGGTTGTCTCTCCTCGGGCTGGATGTGCCACTCGGAGTGCAGGAGGCAGGGGCTGACTTGTCTACCTGGACGGTGCATGGACTTACTGGTGCTGAAAGTGCCCTGGTAGACGGCTCGGACCTGTGTCCTCAGATAGCACACGACCGACACGTGGTACGTCTGCCCCGCGCGCAGACCCCCGACGACACGATCCGTGACCGAGAGGTTCTGTTTCAGCACCAGGGACTGGTCATGGGCCGAGGTGACGGTGAGATGGTAGAAGTAGGGGCCAGGGGCCTCTGGTCTCTCCCAGTACAGCCTGGCGCTGTTCTCGGTCACCTCGGCCACCTGGATATCTCGGGGCATCTTTCCTGGAAGACAGAGCAAAGCAGGGTATGGAGGGAGGGAAGGCCCCCGGCTGCATGGCTGTGATGCACAGACTTGGGGTGGAGGTGGGGGTGCTATCTGAAATAAGTCAGCCAACAGGACATTGAACTAGCTCCTGGCTTGGGCTTCTGAGGAACATGGTACTCAAATGCCCAGATACGGATGTGTGGAGATCTCCCTATCTGACAGCAATCCGTGTGATGCTGCTCTCCTGCGGGAAATTGCTGCAGCTGGAGGTGGCGAGCACGCAAGGCCAGTGCCAGGTCCAGCTGGAGGTGGCAGGCACACAAGGCCAGTGCCAGGTCCAGCAGGGGCCCATGTTGAAGACAGAGGCTCTACCAGCTTTACAGGAATCGCACAGCATGAAGAGCTGCATACTTCAAGGCATGGGCAGCCACGCATCCCGCATATCCACAACTTTATGGAAGGGCCTTCCTGTATCGTCTAGTATCTCCTCAGAGGAAGATGTAAACCATATAAACCACCACAGTTGGCATCTCAACCAACCCCCTAAGGGCCCGTCCACCAGGGTCTGCTACGTGTTTTTCTCACGCACAGCTCAAGCAAGCAGTGCAGTGTTTGAGACAGAGGCCAATAGCCCCAGCTTGGGCTTCCCTCTTCACTGTGGCAGACCAAGCTGAGGCTGACAGAGGGCTCCATCCACCCATGCCACAGGACTAGCGTGGCTGAGAAACCACACAGAGGAACACGGCTTGGCCACCTGCAAGCCAGCAGCAGACTTCTACTGTCCCCAGAGCCCACCCAGGATCTGCAGCCTGTCTCTAATTTGGACCTCATCCCTTTTAATCTTCGGATAACTGGATTTTCAGGCAAGACGGGTTATATCTCCCTGACATTTCAAAGAGTGAGGGGCTCCTATAGATGCCCCAAAGCAAGATGGGGGCCACTGGGTGGGCAGCAGGAGAAAGGAGACAGCCAAGGCTGGCTTCGTGTGGATGGAGCTAAGAGAAAGATGACTTCTTGATTTAGGCAATGGCAGACTTGAGACAGCCCCATGCTCTGGTCAGCCCCATACCTTGTCCAGCTGGACAAGTCTCCTGTCCATAACTCCAATTTTTACTGCTGCATTAAACAGGCTTCTAGGATCCCGCCTACAACAGGACGGTAGCCCTAACCAGCATTTCTTACCTATGGGCTTGGCTGTAGCTGGTTTGGCTGCTTGCACCTTGGGAGCCTCGGGTTTGGTGGCCACCGGTCTTGCAGCAACAGCGGGGGGCCTCACAGCTGCAGGCTTCGCTACTGCTGCCTTCACAGCCACTGCAGGTCTCACCGTAGCTGGCTTCGAAGCCACAGGGCTGCTGGCCACAGACTTCGAGGCCACAGGGCTGCTGGCTATGGATTTTGAGGCCACTGGGCTGCTGGCCACAGACTTCGAGGCCACGGGGTTGCTGGCCACGGACTTCGAGGCCACGGGGCTGCTGGCCACAGACTTCGAGGCCACGGGGCTGCTGGCCACAGACTTCGAGGCCACTGGACTGCTGGCCACGGACTTCGAGGCCACAGGGCTGCTGGCCATGGACTTCGAGGCCACAGGGCTGCTGGCCACGGACTTCGAGGCTGTTGGGTTGGTGGCCACGGGCTTTGAGGCCACAGGATCACCAGCCAAGGACTTTGAGACCATAAGGTTGGTGGCCACCTGACTGGAAGCCATTGGCTTAGAGGCCACAGGGTTGGGAGCCGCAGGCTTCCCAGCGGCTGGCAGATTTATGATGGTCACTGGTTTCATTGTGGTGGTCATTGGCTTTGTTGTGGTCACTGGTTTTGAGGTTGGACTTGAAGTGACATTATTTGGAACATTTCTGTTAAAAATAAATATTACCTCTATTAAGCCTTCTGCGAGCCATGAGAAAATGTATCCCATTAACCACGTGAGATCTATTGTTTCAGCCAAGCCCAAGCGGCTGGATTATTTCACATTCTGTATAATGTCACAAAGATTAAATTTCAGCATCTTAGGGTATATGCCAATGAAAAGATGTTGAACAGTTTATAAAAATAGAATCAGTAGAAATGAAGCTCAGTTATTATAACTATATAACCATATAACCATGTAACTATATATAACGGTATCTAACTAGTTGTATATAACTATAGTTATTATATTATAGGTCCATTTGACATCTTTACTTTCTAAAATGAAAGTAATGAAAAACTAAGAGATGATAGTAACCCATAGCATCTAGCAACATTCTGGTTCTAGAAATTAATCAATTAAATTTATACACGAAAGATTTAATAGCTACTTTCACAATAAAGAAAATACCCACTCAACAAAAATTCATGTTGAGCTGGAAACTGATTAAGTACATAGAGAATTGTAAAGTTCCCAGAGAGAGCTGGTTGTTGCAAGTTTTCTTTGCAGAAATTTTTATCTATCCATATGCAAATTTTTCTCAGTCCTTGATCCATGACAAACCCTAAAAAGACCATTAGTGCCAGCATAGACAGTGGTGTGAACCCACAGTCTGTGGCCTGCTTGCTCGGGTGAAAAATCCTCTATTGTCTCGCTCTATCTTGTGTGTGTCACACACAGAGTATTTTTAAGCTGATAGCATAAAAGTTCAAATGTTAAGTGACTTGGTTCCTTCTATTTTCCCAAAGATAAGGAAGATGAGTCAACTGTAGGGAATGTTCCAGAGAAGTCAAAAGGATGATTAGCAGCTGGGAAAATGGAGCCTCAAGCAGGACCAGCACCCAGACGAGGTCAGAGCTGCCTCGGCAAGGCCAGTCAGCTTCTGAGGCCGAGACCTCGGGACAGAGGCTAGAGCTGAGGGTTCCTGGGCCACAGAGGGACAGGGACAGGTCTGGGCAGGGAGAGCCATGCTCTCTTCCCTACTCTGAGCTCAACCAGCTTGAACCAGGTATTTATTCCCCAAGCTTCTGATTCCATGTGGTCTTACCTGGTACTGAGGTCAGATTCTCATGGCACCTTCCTGGGTATGCTGGCTCTATGGGGGCCCAGTCCCTGCAGCCCTACCCCTGCCTAGCCTCAGATCACATGGACACTGCCCTCCTCTCCATCCCCAGAGACTGGACTCGGCATGCAGCAGCCAGCATGGTCCCTGTGGGGTCTTCCTGGCCTGCCCCCCACCCCCGCCATGAGGGAGGAACAGTAGCATATTCTCAGGAGAACACAGGTATGGCACCTGTCAGCACAGCATCCATTGCTTCAAGATCTGGAGTCTACTCTGTGGGTGTGTTCGATTCACCTTTACCAAGCAGTCCCCTGCACCAGACACCGGTGACGGGATATGGCCTCAGTACTGATCAGCCCGCTGCACCCAGGGATTCAATCAACCACAGAGGATGGGAGAGTATTTGAGTAAAAAACAAAACACCTGCTCCTGTACTGGACAAGGGCTTTGTCGTTATTGTCCAGGCAGTGCAGTAGAACAGTCTCCACAGCTTTTCTATTGCGATCGACACTGTAAGTCATCTAAAGGGCGGGAGTAAAAAGTTTGCACATTCCACACCAAGTCCTGGAGGTGTGATGTGATGTTCAGATCCTCCCACCGAGTCTACGTCCCACCTCCACCACTCTACGTCCTGGCTGGCCTTCGAGCACTCTTCGGTGGCAGAAGCAACTGTGCCAACGCCAGCTCCCCGCACCACCCACTTCCACCTCTCCTCATGGAACGTTGTGACCAAGCCCAAGCTAACCCACCGGAGAGCAAGATACACGTGCAACAGAAATGGCTTGTCTAAGATGAGCCCAGCCACAGTGCTAACCCCGAGAACTGCAGATAAGTAAAGTGTTGGCATTCAAAGCCACTGCATTTTGGGGGGAATTTGTTATGCAGCCAAAACCAACACATAGAGTGGAAGTTCTAGAAGGAGATATCTTCTAGCCTTAAGGAAGCCACATTTTCTGGACATCAAGGTTGTCCTGCTGAAGCAGGAGATGGCTGGAGGACTGTCACGGGTGACCGCCGAGTTCCTCCAGCACTGTGAGTTCTGAGAACATCATTATAGTCACTTACACTTGCTTGTGGCCGAACTTCATTGGATGCCTTGCGGGCTGGTCCCCTTGGAACCAGTCACACTGCTTCTTGATATCTGGGGACAGGTAGAAGGCATTTTCACCTGGAGAAGAACAGAGAAGAACCATCTGAGCTACCTGTGAACCACCTGCGAACTAATCACTTGTGAGCAAAATGGATCAATGATAGTTAGCCCATAAACACTTAGCAAATTAATTCATTTTTCCAGAAAGCTGGGTCCAGCGACTTCACACATTAAGTAGAAAAGCACTTGATTTATAAAAAGCCACAAGCTTTTCTGTCCTATTTGGCCAGATTAGGTTAATATTTACTCAATATGAGAGAGAAGACAAGAATGAAAGAAAAAGTTTCCAAGGTCTTGAACATCAAATTATAACTCCATCCCTTCCAGTATTTTCTTTGTGCTTTGTTGAACAAAGTTTTCTGTTTATATGTTCTGAAGGCAGCACAATGGCCCCTGGTAAACACATCGAGTATCCCTTGTGTCACATGCAGGACAGACACGCACAGATGTGGGTACCAGCGTCATGAGCCTTAGCCTTCCCCTCTCACTCGCTCACCTGCTGCACGCTTTGCCTGTGCTGATGCTGGCTGTGCAATCTGTGGACCCGGAGGAGCGTGGTTTGGGTCACCACTACATTCCTCAGGGAACTCAGACAACAACTTTGAAGATGAATTTCCTGCTAAGGTAGTGATGAAGAACATACTAGGGAGCGGTCCCCGTCAGCAAAGACCGGAGGTATGCAAACGGGCAGTGAGTGGCCCCCTCTAGCTTCCCTTATGCCCCCAAGAGAATACACTTCTCTTACAACGTGCCAGTCATGTCACTCACACATGTGGACCTGACCCATCTGCCCACACAGTTGTAAACTCTTGGTGACACCAACAGTATCTTACGACCAGCAGGTGCCTGACTGCCAGAGTGCCCCTAAGTACTGACTCCTTCAAGCACATCTGACACGTGAGAGTGGTCAGTAACTGCTGGGGAAGTGAACAGGCAAGTCTTGTCAGCTGTCTGCCATGACAGACCTAAGACGTGCAGCCAGCTCGGGGTGCAGCAGCCCCCCAGCCGGGCCCAGGTTCCTGAAGTAGAGTGTAGGACTTACTACTGACAAAGGATGGCAGCAACCTCCCAAAGCGCATCAACGGTTCCTCGTTGAGCTCTGTGGACTTATCCACCAGTTTGAAGAAGACATCGTTGGGCTCACTGGCAAAGCCGAATAGCTCCTTGATGTTCACCTTCCTGCCGATGCCCAGGACCACGAAGAAGTAGCCCTGGCATTTGGCCTGCAGGATGGCCCTCTGGGCCTCCTCCAGCTGCTGCTGGGACACCTCGCCTGTCAGCATCAGAACCACGATCTTCAGGTCCCGCGGGTTGGGTGCGCTTTCAAACACGTTCTCTATGGTGTAGTCGATGGCCCTGCCCAAGTCCCGTGTGCCCTGCAGCTGCTTCATTCTGACGCTCAGGAAGTCCGCTAGCTTCTCCTTGGAGCCGTAGTCTGTCAGGGAGAACTCCACCTTCACAGGGGGCACACTGGCATTGCCCATGGCCTCGTAGGGTGCATGCTGCACCACAGCCACTCTGGCCAAATGCTGGGAGGCCTTGGGGTCTGGGCTCAGGTCCAGCTGCCGGACCAGGTAGGCTATGTACTTCTTCATCTCGTTGAACTGGAACAGCGTGGTGCTCTCTGAGCTGTCCAGGAGGAAAGCCATATCTATGTCCACGCCGCTGCCTGCCGCCCGCCTGTCCCGGAAGGTGGGCCTCCAGCTGCCAAATCCACAGGATGGGTCAATGTTGCAGATGTCTAGGGGGAAGCAGAAGAGCCCATTGCAGTGGGTGGGCAGGGAAGAACACACACCACTGGGCTGGAGAGCACTCACCACTGGGCTGGAGAGTACTCACCACTGGGCCCAAGGAGCACACACCATTGGGCCCAAGGAGCACACACCACTGGGCTGGAGAGCACTCACCATTGGGCCCAAGGAGCACACACCACTGGGCCCAAGGAGCACACACCATTGGGCCCAGGAGCCCAGGGTCATCCAACCAACACACTGAAGCAGAAACCTGTCCATATCCTGCGGCTCACTAGCAGTCAGATTTCCATTTTCACAGCCAAAGATGAAACAATTCAGTAAACTACATCCTGTGTTATCCCACAGTGTGGGCTCTTCAGGAAGAAATGGGACCTGAGGGTAATCTAGAGCTGCATTTTTATGCTACATCTGAGATCAAAACCCATGCAGGGGGCCAGCACGGTGGCATGGCAAGCCAGTCCTCCTGTGTCGCCAGCATCCTCTCTGGGAACTGATTCAAGTTCCAGCTGCTCCACTTCCCATCCAGCTTTCTGACTGCAGCCTGGGAAAGCAGCAGAGGATGGCCCAAAGCTCCGGGCCTCTGCACCCATAGGGGAGAGTTGTAAGAAGCTCCTGATTCACAGTTTTAAACTAGACCAGCTGTGGCCTTTGCCGTCATTTTGGGAATGAACCAGCAGATGGAAGATTTCTCTGTCTCTCCCTGGCTGTCATAACTCTTTTAAGTATAGTAAAATAAATCATAAAGAAAGACCTTAAGTAGGGCCTGTCTTCTCCAGTGTTACAATTAGTTCCTTGCCCGAGTGGATATGGAAATCACAAACACACAGTGTGACTGCAGGAGTTTATGAATGTGACCGGCACCGCAGGTCTTCATGGAGGTCAGGTTTCTCACCACACTGTCCCTCCAGGGCAGCTGGACACACCTGCCCCCGGGGAAGCCCCTTACCCAGGCACACGTGGCAGGTGAGCACGTTTCTCAAGAAGTCGTTGAGGTCCCTCCTGGCAGGCAGGACGAGGGCATGTCCCACTGCGGTGTTGTTGATCTGGTTTAGAACAAAGGACACGGTTGGCAGGCCAGGAGTAATCGGAAGCCACTGGGCAGTACAGTCACGGAGCACATCAGAGACACAAGGACACTGCAAGTTCCTCAAGTTCCCAAAGGCTCAGCGCCTCCTGCCTGGGGGGAGCCCAGGGACAACAGGGACAACTGAGGCTTATCGGCAAGAAGAGCAGAAGTTCAAATCCCACCTCCTCACTTTCTTTTAAATCAAGAGGAAGACAAAAAGAGAACCACCACAACACTTGCTCACCCCCCAGATGCCTGCAGTAGTAAAAACCCAACAGGCTGAAATTGGGGACTCACTCCAGGTCTCCCACGTGGTGGTGGACAACCAGGTATGTGAGCCGTCACCACTGCTGTCCAGGGTCCCACTAGCAGGAGTCTGAGCCGCTCTCAATCCCAGCGACGTGGGGCGCGGACATCTCAACTAGCATGTTCAGCTCCAGGCTAGATGTCCACCCGGGGAATGGAAATTGTTTAGCCCCTCTGGGATGGAGTTCCCTTGGATGTAGAGTAAGGAGAGCGGTTCTTTCCTGACAAGGCTACTGGGAGAACTCAGCTGGAAGCCAGTGCAGTGTGGCTCCTCCAGCAGTGAGGTGGTGGCCATTACAGCTCTCTCAGCACCAACAGCTGCAGGTCCTGGGCCTTACAGGCCTCCCAGGTCTTGTTTGTGCCAAACTAACATCTCTCCTAACATATGCGAATATCCTGCCCACCGCAGTGCCTGGCATGCAACTTGCTGTCGCTCCTTTGTTTAATAATTCATTAGAGCAAATGACTGATGCAGGAGCCAATCCATTTCCCATCCTCCTGAAAACCCCCTGTGCTGGATAGTGCAACCCACGCAAGGGCAGAAACCCAGGAGGACCCCTCACAACCCACGCAAGGGCAGAGGCCCAGGAGGGCCCCTCACAACCCACGCAAGGGCAAAGGCCCAGGAAGGCCCCTCACAACCCACGCAAGGGCAGAGGCCCAGGAAGGCCCCTCACAACCCATACAAGGGCAAAGGCCCAGCAGAGCCCCTCAACCCATGCAAGGGCAGAGGCCCAGGAAGGCCCCTCACAACCCACGCAAGGGCAGAGGCCCAGGAGGACCCCTCACAACCCACACACGGGCAGACGCCCAGGAGGACCCCTCACAAGCCTAACCCAACACCTGAGTGCCAAGGCCCAAGGTCTCGGCCTGGATGGCTGGGGGGGAGGGCAGCACTGAATCAACACTGATCGAGAGATAACAGCAGATCAGTAAGAGGTTCCGGCAGCACACACAGGGCCCTGGCCTCCTTGTGCACTGCAGCAAGGTTTGCTTCAGGTCACTGCAGCTTTGACAAGGTCATTCTGAGACTCGAAGCCTGTGGGGACCGTCCTGGGCGATTCCCCTCTGGAGGTGGCTGAGGCAGCACAGGGGTCATGACCAACACCTGCTCTGCCAAGTGCGATGCCCAAGACCTCGTGCCCACCAAGGCCCACACCAGCCTCAGGACCTTCTTAACCACAAGACAACGGCGCAACCTCCTCCCCACCTGTGCTGGGAAGCAGATGTCCCAGCTGGGGTCTTACATGGCAACAGTGACCACCTAGGGACACCTCACGAGGAGCCAGGCCGATGGCAATGGTCGAGCGCTCATGAGGAAGGCAAGGAGGTGGTGCCCTCCCCAGAAGACGCAGAGTGCATCAGCCAAGGCCAAGCACAAGCCCACTAAATGGACAACGGTGACCCTGTGACACTTGAGGAGGGACTGGAGGGATGAGTGACAGCCACACGGGTGCCAGCGTAGGGCCAGAGCCACAAGGTTCTCCCTGGAATGTTCTGGAAGCTGTGGAGCATGCACCCAAATGGAGAGCATGATGTGCCTGGGAGAGAGGGTGGCCAGCAGGACTCCCCTGAGCACTGACCTGCAAGGCATTGACAAGCTGCCGGTCCTCCTGGCTGGTAAGGAACAAGGGGGTGATGCCCGCATCCGAGAGCTGCAGCACGGCCTCTCGGAGCTGGGGGGACGCCCTGGTTGGCCGGTTGCTGAAGAAAATGGCCACCTTCCTCATGAGGAAGCCGCTCCGTACTCGCTTGAACGTGTTTCTGGCCACGAAGGACATGGCGGTCTCCAGACTGGGCTGCTTCCTCGTCAGCGACACCTGCAGGTTGTTAATGTCCTTCAAGAGGGCCGCCTTCTTCCTGGAGTCGGCGAAGCGGATCTCCGTGGTCACCTCGTTGTTGTAGCTGACCACGGCCACACGGGCGCCCCGTGGACAGTTGCTTTCAGCGATGGTCAGGTTGCCCACGACACGCAGCAGCACGTCTCGCATCCGCTCAAACGCATCGTTGGTGACACCCTCTGAGGTGTCCAAGGCAAATGCCAGCTCCGTGGGGAAAACAGGGCACTCCAGGGGCCCTGGGGAAGCCGGGCACGGGAGGACGTCAGAGCCACTCCTCAGTGGAAGGGGATCTTGCCCTCCCAAGAACAAAGGCAAATTGCTGAAATGCACTTACCATAGCAGCAGGCTACAAAACAAAACAAAAAAAAAGAGGAGGCAAGAGTGAGGGCCACGTCTACCGCGTGAGGACGTCAGAGGCAAAGAACGTGTCGCAGGCAACAACGAGCAGCTACTTACGACACTTATCCTTGATGCTCTGGATCAGGGCACATTGCTGGGAAAGGAGAGGAACGGAAAGGGGGTGTGAGGAGAGCCAGTGACGGCTCCCCAGGACGAGCCAGCCCGACGCCCGACCAGGGAAAGGATGTTCTGCACCAGACCCCAGCAACTTACATCAATGGAGTCGCCTCTGTTGCCCTTGTGACCCTGAAACAGAAGGAGAAGCTGAGAAGCACAGCCAAGCCATGACCCACACAGAGCCACAGCACCCACAGAGCCACGGCACCCCTTTCCCATACACCCACAGAGCCACAGCACCCAGAGCCACGGTACCCCATCCTGTGCACCCACAAAGCCCCCAGCACCCCGTCCTGTGCACCCACAGAGCCACGGCACCCCGTCCTGTGCACCCACAGAGCCACGGCACCCCGTCCTGTGCATCCACAGAGCCACGGCACCCCGTCCTGTGTACCCACAGAGCCACAGCACCCCATCCTGTGCACCCACAGAGCCACTGAACCCCTGTCCCATGCAGCCACAGAGCCACAACACCCCTGTCCTGTGCACCCACAGAGCCACGGCACCCTGTCCGGTGCACCTACAGAGCCACGGCACCCCTGTCCTGTGCAGCCATAGTTAGGAGCAAAGGACCTTGATCTCGTTTAGCTTCTCTCTCTAAAGTTTATTTTAGAACTTGAAAAAGTGAAAGAAAGAAAACTCTGCATCCCCAGGTGGTGCCCTGGAGAAGCAGCTCCCACCCTGGACCCTGGCAGGTGTCCTTCCCCGCCCACGCCAATCACACAGGGGCTGATCCAGCCTCTGCTGTTGCCAAGCAGAGCTGCCCCATGTGGGCACCAAAACACCCTCCCCCATGCAGGGACAGCGAGGGACCTCAAGCTGTCCCCCACACCATGTCTGAGGTGCCCCCGCTGGATTCCACCACCAGCAGCTCATAGCCTCTCTTAAGAGCTTACCCCAACACCTGCCCACTCTGATGGCCCAGCAATCTTCTCGTAGCCCAGCTGACCATCGCTGCAAAGGCTATTTCTCTACCTGCAGGGTCTTGGGCAGCTTAGTGCACCCTCCTCCGCACTTCACTCGCTCATAAAGGCAGCACCAGACTCTTTAGCCACCCAGCCGCCTCTTACTCATTCAACCACACCAACCCTTCAGCCACCCCTTCCGGGAGCGACGGGCAAGTCCTTGGGTTGTCATGATGGTATCTTCTTGAGCAGCACCAACACTGAATGGGGAGACGTTCAAATAGGAAAATGCAGGTGCTACTGACGCAGAGCGGGAGGCGAGCATGAGGTGCAGTCCTGGCTGCCAGCAGGGCAGGATCAGGTGAGCTCAGCATGAACCACAGCCCCTTGGGGATGGTGTACATGAGGGACGCAATCCCTAACGCAGGCCGCACAGGCTCATTCTGCCTCTACATGATGCCAGCAAGGGGAAGTTAGACTTGCTGTCTTGGCTTTGTCCTCTGTGCAAACCTCGAGCGAGCCAGCCCTGGGAAAGGATGAAGTCAAGTTGCTACACTGGCTAGACCACAGAGCGTCCCGTGAAACCTTCTGACAACACTTCCGGGGACTCCAAAACTCTCTTCCCCATGGTGACAGCAGAAAACACGCAACCCGCACAGACATGAGCACCCTGCTCTGTGACAAAGAAGGCGGCGTGCTCTCAGCACCGATGTGTCCCACAGCCCTGGGGGGCTCTGGGGCAGCTGAGGGGGTACTCACAGACGGTCCCGGGTAGCCAGGGTCTCCCTTCTGTCCAACAATCCCCGGAGGTCCTGAATCTCCCTAGAGGGGACAGAACACGCAGTGCTCAAGTGTCACAGAAGACAGAAACCTCTCAGCTCCTGCTGGAAGGGTTGGCGGAGACTGTCACGCCCAGTGCTCCCCATGATGACACTGTCAGGCAGCTCCAAGGTTCAAGCGTGGGGACAAGGGGCATGAACCAAGTTTAGGTGAGGGCCTCACCCACCACCACCATCACCACCCCAATGTTCTCCAGCAGGTGGGTGCAGGCCAGATACCTTCCCCAAGAACCAGCAGAACAAACTTTTCTGTGGATCCCGAGAAATGGAGACTGATGAACCAGATCGGCGTTCACTATCATCAAGCCAGTGTCTACGAACTCGACCCTGAGCAGCAAATGATCTGGCTTGCTGCCTTCACGGCTTCAACCACTACTTCGTGAATACTCTTGAACTGTAGGCATGACCACGATTTGCAACCTCAGGACTTGCTGCCCTCTTAGGGGGGGATTAACAAACATCCACTCAAGAGCCATCCAGAAGCATCTCACTAGCCAAGGGCAGGAGCCCACGGCCCCAGCCTGGCTTGCGTGCAGACCTGGACCCTCCAATGCGGCTCACCGTCTCCCTTAGCCCTGCTGCAGGAGCAGGCATGGAGCCGACTAGATGTCCCACCCTGGACCCTCGCTGATAGTTCCTGCTGATACAGATGCCGGGAAGCGGCAGGCGATGGCTCCTCCTGCCACCCAGGAGGGAAACCTGGATTGAGTCCCTGACTCCTGGTTTGAACCTGGCCCAGCCCCAACTTTTACAGGAGTGAACTAGAGGGTGGGAGCACACCCCTCCCTCCGTGTGTGTGTGTGTGTGTGTGTGTGTGTGTGTGTGTGTGTGTGTGTACACACGCGCTCTTCTTAAGTAATGAATGAGTAAGCCTTCTGCCTCATCATCTAGGTAGATGGGACTAACAGAACTTCACAGACATTGGACGTCACCCTCCACCCTGGAGCCTGGGCCCTCCTCGTGCTGTGCTGGGTGGAGCTGCAGGTTGGTGACCCTGGAGGTGATGGAGGAAAGGGGTTCTCACGCCTCCCCCACAGACCACATCCGTATTCTGAGGACACAGGTCCGGGGTTTGTGACTCCCTGTCCCTGACCTGAGTGGCTACTGGCCGGGCTGCAAGGTCAAGAAGGTTTGCTATTCAAGCCTTGGAGGTAAACCACATCACCTCGCACTTGAACCCAAGATGCAGGCAAACTCACCCTGCGGCCTCTGATGCCTTTGGGTCCCGGTGCGCCGTCTGCCCCAGGCTCACCAGGGGTTCCCTGGGAAAAGCCAGAAAGAACACATGATGCCACGGCACTGACACGCGGGCCTCCCACAGGGCACGTGGCATGCGCTCTCCACGGCAGCGGACACATGGGTGCCAACCTGCTCTCCCATTCAGCAGTGTGTCCACTGCATATGATGCTCTGGATGATTCTATCAGCGATGAGAGCGGAGCTTACTGCATTTCACCGCTTGCACCTCCACAAGCACTCCCTGTCACCCCCACTGACCCGGGAGGGGCCCCAGGAGGGGCGAGTCCTTCAGAGCAGCCCTGTCCGTCGGTCAGCGGCTGACCCAAGGCTCAGACCACCTGCTGGCTCATGAACAAAGCCTCCTCCTTGGAAGGAGTGGGGAATGTCACCACGAGCTTACCTTCGGGCCTGGGTACCCCGGGAATCCTCGTTCTCCCTACAAAAGAGCAACACATGACTCACTGTTTGGTCCCAATCTAAATTCATCTAAAACAAACAGAAGTTGAAAGAAGGGGAGGAAATGTAGAAGACCGAATCATCCAAAGAAAACAACGTCTCAAACACGGTGAGCAGTCTAGAAACCGGAGGCCTCAGCAGACACCTACTTTCCTGCCTCTGCGTCCTTCACTGCCAACTCCATCTCGCCCGTCGTCGCCCTAGGGGTGGGAAAGAGGGCACAGCTGCAGGCCGCTGTGGGGGCAGGCCGCAGTGCCTGCCCTGCCACTGTCCTGAGCCCCGACCCCCACCAGGAGCAGGAAAGCTGCCCCCTCAAATGTCACCCACTAGGGTAGGCAGGGCCAAGTCGGCTGCCAGCGATGCAGGTGGGCCATGATGCATCAGCTACTGACATACTGCGTAAGAACTGTCAACTGCAAGTTGAGGCCAGGGAGTCCTTGCCTTGAAGAAACCCTGAGGGCCACTAGGACCCCGATTACTGTCCAAAATGAGCACGCAGAGCTCAGCGTCCAGGGCCGCCTGCAGCTCCTGTACCCTGTCGCATGCAACGCCTCCACACAGCCTGCTCCCCAATCCCACCACCTCCCGCTCTGCCCCACAGGCCACATGTGTCCCTGTCACTCCCATGTGGGGCATCCAGAGCTGGACATGGTGGATTATTTCAGATGACACACACATTCATAACCCTAACACCTGCCAGGAACTTGACAACTTAGAATGGATGTCAACAGCCAGTGTGCCACTGCCTAAGCTACGGGAACAGAAGCAGAACACGACTTCTTCCTCCTGGACGCGTTTTCAAATCAGGAGTTTGGCCCTCTGCTTCTGAGGCTGACAGGGACAGAGACCAGCGGCTTAAAGCTCCAGAAGCTGGGGACAGAAGATGAGCAACCCAAGGATTGGGAGACACACAGTGCCAAGCCTGGCCCGGCCCGCAGGTAGCAGGTGCACAGCCTCGTCCCACAGACACGCTGGTCGGCAGCTGTGGGTGAGCAGCTGCGGTAGATGTAAACAAATCTTTCCAAACAGGCGCCGGTGAGCTGGGGATTTCTCTCCCGAGGATGGTCCCTTCACCAGAAGCCATGGTGTCTGGCTGGGGCACTCAGCATCTCCAAGCCCACTCTGACTGCCCCTTGAGGTGGGACAGAGTGAGGGGCACCCAGCTTCGGGCGATCGCTACATTCTTTCTGCAGTGGCAGGGACTGTACCCACACCCCCACACCTCATCTCCAAGGACAAAAACCCTTATGACATTGATTGGCTGCCACAAGCTGCAGGCTCCGGGTTTCCTGTGGATCCCAATGATACAAGGAGCTGTGCTCAATCCTGTATGTATGGAGCCCGCCCCTGCTGCCCACACCACGCAGTGAGGCCAGCGAGCCCAGCGTCCAGTGGTGTGTGTCTCAGCGAGCCCAGCTCTCAGTCCCACATGTCTGGAGTCCACCCCTGCTGCCCACACTGCAGCAGGGCCCTCGAGCCCAGCCGGAACCGGAGTCTCCTCTTACCGTCTCCCCACGAGGGCCTCGGTTGCCCACACCTCCTTTTGGTCCTGGCTCTCCAGGTTCACCCTAAACAGAGACACAAGGCTGAAAACCTGTGCCCAGCTGCATCCAGGGCCCAGCTGCGTCCAGTGCCCTGCTGCGTCCACTGCCCAGCTGTGTCCAGTGCCCAGCTGTGTCCAGTGCCCAGCTGCGTCCACTGCCCAGCTGTGTCCAGTACACAGCTGCGTCCAGTGCCCAGCTGTGTCCAGTGCCCAGCTGCGTCCAGTGCCCAGCTGTGTCCAGTGCCCAGCTGCGTCCAGTGCCCAGCTGCATCCAGTGCGCAGCTGCGTCCAGTGCCCTGCTGCGTCCACTGCCCAGCTGTGTCCAGTACACAGCTGCGTCCAGTGCCCAGCTGTGTCCAGTGCACAGCTGCGTCCACTGCCCAGCTGCATCCAGTGCGCAGCTACGCCCTGCACCTACCCTGGGGTAGTGGTGGGGTCACAGCCTACTTCTCTTTTTACATTTTGAAGAAATCAGCTTTAATTGAAACATAAACAAATTAAAGCAAATGCTGCATATGCTCCCTGCTGTGAAAACCGAGAAAGTGTCGGCTGCATAGAAACGCAGAGTGCAGCTTGCATGCTGGTGCAGCAAGTTAATCCTTCACTTGTGGTGCCTGCATCCTGCACAGGCCACGGTTTGCGTTTCAGCTGCTCCACTTCCCACCCAGTTCCCTGCCTGTGGCCTGGGGAAGCAGCAGAGGACGGCCCAGAGCCGTGGGACCCTGCACCCGCGTGGGAGACCCAGCAGCACCACCAAGACAGAGGCCACTACAAACTCCCAAGGACAGACTTGCACTGGGACAACAGCCTCTTCTTAGCTACAATCAAGACTGACACTTAGCAAGCTCCCAGAAATCAGGCAGGCGGGGTCACCGTCCCTGAAAACCCCCACTTGTTTCCCACAAACCTTTCTCCCCAGGGGCCCGATTCTGCCACGGTCTCCAGGAGCCCCGGCCGTGCCTCCACTTCCCTGAAGCATAAGAAAGAAGGTGTCAGCACATCTCTGCCGTCCACGCACAAGGACCTCCCGCCCACTTTGGGGCACAGAGCCTGCCCAGGGCGGGATCCTGCAGAGCCCTGCTCAGAGGCTGTGCATGGAGCTGTGGACTGCGACACTGGGACATGCCAGAGTCCACGCCAGCGTGACTTCCAGCAGCTCCTCAGCATGGCCTCCCAGGACAGAGAAGCACATGTGAGACCAGGTCGCTGGCCATCAACCAGCCTGGACCTCGGGCCCATTGCATACCCATTTCACACCCCCACAAGGAACCAGGTGAGTGGGCATGTTGGCTGAACGAACCAATCAGGAAATGAAAATAACCCCTCAGCAGGGTGCAGTTTACACAATCCAGATGTCCGCCAAACAAGTGGTGGGAGAGTACCCACTGATTAACATTCCCAGGACTGCTGGGTGAGCTTGCAAAAGTCTGCAAACAAGCCATTTACAAATTCTCAAGCTGGGCGAGGATATTCTAAGCAAACAGTCTCATAGCACCAGACCAGCTCATGCCTGGTCTATTGGGCATTGCCATTTCCTGTGACACAGGATTGCATGACAGCCTTGGTACCATCCCGAACCCAGGAGAAACCAGAGCAGGGATTGCACAGCCCCTGAGTCCAGCAACGCAACACCAACTGGCACATTTTGGCTCAGCATCCCAACAACTCCCATTACAGCAGGTGTAAGCTCTGAGACTACACAGGAGGAGGCTCCTAACCACACAGCCTGTGTCAGGGGCCAAGGATCCATCACTGTGCGTGCCCTCCAGGGCTCAGCAGAGTCACTCAGCTCACACATGGCTCCAGTCCACAGCTTCGGACACATCGGTCCCTCGCTGGCCACCCAATGGGCCTGCGCTGGGAAGGGACTCTGGGAAATGGAGTCTCTCACTGGTGTTGAAAACAGAGCTGTCTGCCCAGCACCGTGCCTGACATCCTCCTGCTGCTTGGGCAACGCAGCACGTTTAGCCAGGGGAGGGGTCCCAAACAAGGGTTACTCACCCGGGGTCCTGGAATGCCTTGTTCACCGATCAGTCCCGGAGGCCCTATGGGACCAGGTGGGCCCTGAGGAGGGAACAGGCCATCGTTAGATCCATGAGGAGCTTCTGAGTGGCACCTGTCTAAGACAGCCAGTAGGCGGGGCCAACCACGCGGATCACCGCATGCAAATGCCACCTCAGTTTTTCAGGACAAAGAGCATCAGAGGTGGGGCAAGCATCGTCAGGCAGGTGGTTCCAGCACGGGCACTGACCTGTGCACCTCGGGTGCCCTGCTCTCCCTCGAAGCCTGGCTGGCCGGCACCACCCCTGTTGCCCTGGGAACAGAGAAGATGGGTGGCAGAGTCAGGTGGCAGCTCCAGGTCGGCTTAGCTCTGGGTGCAGGAGACACACACGGGAAGAAGTGCCCCTGGCACCTTGCTGTCCTGCTGGGCCGCTCTCAAGGCAGCTTTATGACATGAGAGCACTGCACACCTGTACCTGCCTCGCGAAGGTGACAGGACTGACAGTGCAGAAAGCTGTGGCCTGCTGATGGCTAGGGCAGGGGCAGGCCAAGGAAGGACACAGGCCAGGCCGCCCTCTCCTCTGACATTCCCCAGCCTTCAGCCCTTGGGTCCTTGTGGAAATCGCCCTCCCACACCCCTGTGAAGTGAGGTTCAGGGGGACGGTACGAGTTACAGCGGCTGCCAATTGAGCTATGGGAGCCGAGCCAGCACTAGGAGAGAGGGAGTGAGGAGGATGTGGCAGTACCCGGGTGGGCTACACGTGGGCTTAGTGACCCCTGGTTTCCCAGGAGCCCTCACTGGGCCACACGCAGAACAAGACAGAGGCATCAGCCACAGGGCTTACCTTAGCTCCGGGAGGGCCCCTGCGGCCAGGGCCGCCCTGCAGAGGAAGAAGCCATACAAGCCGTGAGGCAGAGTCTGGGAATGCCAGGCACTTAACCCACATGCTCACCCGCGGCTGGCACCCCTCTGTGCCAGAAACCAGAACCCACACCTCACAGCCCTGGGGAAGCACCGATGCCTCCTGTGCCCTCCCACGGAAGGTGCTCGCCTATGCAGGCCCTGATGTACACCCAGAAAACCCTCAGCTGTGCTAAGCCAAGTGACACGGCACGGTGGCCTGTCCACCATGAACAGGCCAAGGACAACACAGGCCAAGCTTTGTGAAGCAGCCCGAGTGCACACACGTGACCCTGAAAGTTCTGGAACATCAGTTGCTCTCACAGGTTGGTAAGTCCTGATAGACACCCTATAGCCCCCAGGGCCCACACCTGCAGCCTTATAGCCTGGTAACCCACCACTGCCTGCCTCGCGGCTGTGCCCTGCAGCAGGGCTGAGCAAAAGTCCTTGGTTATCCATTCAGGGTGGGGGTGGGTACTCCGGGGACTGCCCTGAGCCTCATCTGCATGTCCACTTAAGAACCACATTGTCCACCCCAGGGCACCAGCCCAGGCATGGCGAGGGTGACCATGCTGCCAGCACTCGGTGCACTGCCCGCCCTCTCCCTCCACAGGGCAGCCATCCATCGCGGCCCCTCCTGAGGGGGACGTCAGAATGTGCCAGGCTCAGGGTCTGGCCCAGGCCCCAGGCAAGCCGGCGGAGGAGGAGTGATGGAACCCATCAGGAAGGACATGGTTGTATCTGGGCCTCCTTGTACTGCAAAGTTGGAAGCAGAGGGCCGAGGTCCACCCCGCTGGGCCTTCCCTGTTGGAGAGAACTGCATCTACAAGAGCCCTAGACCACAACCAAAGTCAAGCTCAAGTTTCCAGCTCATGTGCGGGTGCAAGGATCCTGTGTAGCACTGTGTTCCAAGTCATTTCGCCAAGCCGAGCTCTGAGCCGGCCCACAACCTCAGGGAGTCACGGCTCATTGCCGTTAACTGGTGTTCCCCCATCTTATTTCATTACATGGCTCCGCTAAAGTGCATTATCCAACCGCAGTGCACGAAGCTTCTGAGACAAGAACCCTACGTGCTTTCTCAGGGATGGTAAAACCATAATTAGCCCACAGACCATCACTGCGTGACAAGTGACTCAGCCCCTCCCAGACGCCCCTCACCTCCATGAACTCTCTCTGGCTGGCTACTTGCTAAGGCGCTCCCACTCAGCGGTCCTGCTCTCAGCTGCCCAGCCCCAGCAGCGGCAGCCTTGGCACGCCATCCACTTCCCAGTGGAGACCTGCCCCAACCAGCATCTAGAATGTTCCTTCAAGCCTGGTCAACTCCCACTCTGCTGCTGCCCCGTGCAGCAACTGTCCCCTCCAGCTCCGGAGGCCCCACCTTCTATGGCTCTGGACCCTGGAGGGGCTTCCAAATGACCTCCTACACATGACAGTAAAGCACTTTGGCCACAACATTTTTCTGACAGACTTCAACAGTAGGCAAGCAATGAGCTATTCTGCGCAGATGCTTCTAGAACAGCTTCCCAAAGAGCAGCTGTGAGATGCAGCACACTGTAAGATGCAATGGGGCCGGTCCCCTGTTCCCACACGGGCAGCACCAAGGAGAATGCGGGAGACAAGAATGACAACCCCTCCCCGCCTGCCCCTGCTGCCCCACTCCAGAATCAACCAAATAAATCCTAAAACCCCCCCAACCCATATTCAAACCAATAACCCTCCCCCCCATCACACACCCATAAAACACACACAAATAAATCATACAATTCTTTCCATAAGCACCCCTACTCCACCAAATACATATAAAAACTAACAACAAACAATACATAACTACTTCATAAAATCAACCCAAAAAACACAACACACACCCCAAACCACAACCCCAACACAACCAACAACACCCCACCCACACCACCCCAACCCCCCACCCCACCCCACCAACCCCACCCCCCACCCCACACCCCCCACCCCACCCCCACACCCCACCCCCCCACCCCCCCCCAACCACCCCACCACCACCCCCAACCCACCACAACCCAACACCACCACCCCCCACCCCCCCCCCCACAACCCACACACCCACCCCAACACCCCCCCCCCCCACCCCCCCCCACCACCCCACCCCCCCCACCCCCCCCCCCACCCCCCCCCCCCCCCCCCCCTCCCCCCCCCCCTCCCCCCCACACCCCACCCACCACTCCCTCCCCCCCCCCACCCCCCCCCCCCCCCCTCCCCCCCCCCCCCCCCCCCTCCCCCCCCCCCCTCCCCCCCCGATCACCCTGCCTGCAGTAAGGGGAAATCAGGCAGGGGAGACGAAGTGGAGCAGGAAGGTTCTGGAAGGAAAGATTTCGTACGCCGCAGGACTTGAGGAACTAGCCAAGCCCTTCCCATTCGCTGTCTACCACCCAGCTGCCTTCTGCCAAGGGCTGACGCAGCCTGTGGGCCCACGGCAGGTGCCAGCCCGTGCTCTGGGGGGTCCCAGCTCCCAGACCACAACCCAGCAACCTGCTCTCTACCAACCCCAGGCCCACGCTGTTCTGGCATCTGTTAAGGAAAGAGGTTGTGAAGTTCCTGGAGAGTCCAGGGGTACTGGCCCAGGGGCACCACGCAGAACCCCACAATCCCCTCCCCCAGGGCCTGAGGACACTCACATCTTTCCCGATTTCTCCAGGACTTCCAGAAACTCCATCTCTGCCCGGGAGACCCTGATGTGGGGAGAAAAACGCACAGGAGGCTCCCATGGTTCAAAATGTCACAGCCTAGGCCCCGCCCATGGTGGGAGGGGCCTGGCTGCCAAAGGGCAGCCCTGGGTGGGCTGGGGAATATACTGGACCCTGGCTGCAGAGGGCAGCAAGGTGGGGAGGCCTGGACCCTGGGGCATCACCACGTCCACAGGCACTCCAGGGGACACTTTCCCTAAGCATCTAAGGGACACAGACTCCACCCAGTGAAGGTCACTCAGTGACACGGGGCTTCCTTCTTGGGTTTCTCAGGGACTCTGCAGTCGGCCTCTCGCCGCCCTGCAGCCCCAAGGGTGCCTCGAAAGGGGCAGCACTGACCATGGGGCCGATGTCACCCGTCTCTCCTTTGGGTCCTCTCTGCTGGCTGTCCCGTCCCGAGTCGCCCTGTAGGTGTCGAGGGTGAGGGATGAGCGTTGCAGAGCGCATCTCAAGGCTGGGTCCACGCTAAGCCCTCCCCACCCCCCCTCCCCTACAGGCCCCTGCCCACGCCTTCACCCCAGCTCAGGGTGGTCCTCACCGGGTCCCCGCGGATCCCAACATCGCCACGTTCTCCCTTCTCCCCCTTCGGGCCTTTGTCCCCCTAGGTGAGAAACGCAAGCAGAAGGTCGCGTTCAGGTATTCCCACATCTTGCAGGCTCACTGTGCGTCCCTGAGAGTGATGCAGAAGGCTGGACCGGACAGTGAGGTGGAGCAGGTGCGCTCATCTGTCATCTCATGGACTCACTGTGCGCGTGTGGTGAGAACAGCTGGACCCACATCTGGAACCCAGAGGCCTAACACATACAAAACTCCCGGCACATGTCAGATGTTGACTGTTCCCCCTGGAAATCAGCCTTCCATCTTACACGCACACGGAGAGGGGATTAGCATTTCCTCAATTCCACGAAGGCACGAAGCGCCCTCCAGGCATCACTGACCCACCGGTCAGTCCACAAATCTGTACCGAGGACCCACTCTGAGCCACGCACTGAAGCATTTGCAGCAAAATAAATCAGTTCTGCCACCCTGCGACACGGGCTCTCCATAAGAAAGTGCCATGCCTCGTGTCAGCACAGACGAGGGACTTGGGGGCCACCAAGCTCACAGCGGTCGGGGCGAGGCTGGAGAGGGCTGCTTGGAGCAGGTGCGCCTGAAGCATTCCCGTGGGATCGGCATTGTGGAGCACCAGGCTCAGCCACAACGACCCCAGCTCATATGGGACGACGCCAGCATCCCATATGAGCAAGCCTGGCTGGCCCCACTTCCCACCCAGCTCCCTGCTTATGGCCTGGGAAAACAGCAGAGGACGGCCCAAGTGCCTGGGACTCTGCATCCATGTGGGAGACCTGGATGAAGTTCCTGGCTCCTGGCTTCAGCCTGGTCCATCCCTGGCTATTGTGGTTACTTGGGAATTGAACCAGAAAACCCAAGATCTCTCTCTCCTCCTCCACCCTCTCTGCCTTCCAGATAAATAAATCTGTAAACAGAGACACATGCACACACACACACCTGCACACGCAAGTACACGCATGTACACACAGGGGTGAAGGAACATCCTGCCCCACAGACCCGTCTGCATCCCAGCGCATCAGCGCTGCCCGATGCCCACTCACCCTTCTGCCAGGGCTCCCTTTGTCCCCCGACGTCCCGGGCAGCCCCTTGTCTCCCTGCCAAAGGCGAGGCGCACGAGTGAGGCCGGGCCAGCTTCCCTACTGCCGAGTTGCAGGAACCGCAGGAAGCTCCAGGACTCAGAGCTCACTTACCTCTTCGCCATCCAGCCCATCGAGGCCGATTTCTCCCAGTTCACCCTGGCAGGGACAAGCACAGCCGGGTGAGTACAGAGCACTCCTGGCAAAGGGGAAAGCTGAGAGCCCACAGGCAGCCGTCCAGGTAAGACAAAGGTAGGCTTACCTTCTCTCCCGGGAATCCTCGGGAGCCCTGGAAGGGAAGAGAGGGCAAGCTGAGTCGGCCCTGCCTGTGTGCTGGGTCCCCAGGCAGGAGGAGCAGCGTGCCCATCCCCACTCACGGGACTGTCACTGCATTCGAAAATTCAGTCTTAGGGCCTCAGTTCCTCGGCTGCCCCTCCCAGGAGCATGTGGGGTGGGGGAAGCGGGCACCGGAAAGCAAATTTACTTGGGTGGTCTTGGCCCCAGAAAGTCAAGGAAGGGGCTCCACGTAGCTTCGCGGCCCCTCCCTCCACCAGCCATGCCTCCTCTCACACCCCCCTGCAACTTGCCCGGTTCCTCCCAGGGTCCAAGGCCAAAGCCAGGGGACTGCAGCCTCCCTGCCAGCCCCCGAAGGTCTACTGCTCCCCTCTTGAGCCCCCTCCCTTCCAGCCTCAGCCCTCCCTTCACTAGCCCGACTGCCAAAGGTCAAAGCCCCACTAACAACGTAGAACAGAGAGGCACTTGGGGAAACTGAGTCCCGAGAAGACCCAACCCCGACACGGCACCTTCACTCCTCGCTGGCCCGGGCAGCCCTGGAACCCTTGTGTGCCGTTCACGCCGGGAGGCCCACGCTCCCCCTGTGGAGAGAAAGGAAGGCATGGCAGGGGCTCCCTGGACTCACATCCCCAGGGCAGGCCCAGGCCCTCAGCATCGCTGTCCTGGGCCTGGCCTTGAACCTGCAGGTCCCAGAGGAGCCACAGCACAGGGAGCACTCTGTGTAGTGGCCCTGCTGGCCTGGCTGAGCCCTGGCATAGCCCTGACTCCCAGCTCTGTGCTCATCCCCAACACCCCAGCCAAGGCCTCGGATCCTCTCCGTTCCCACCCCAGGCTGAGCCTGCTCCGGAGTCCCTCCCAAGGCTGTGCTCCCGAGGGCCCTGCTACTGGGCCTTCCCCAACCCCAGCCTGACCCTGGGATCCCAATAACCTCTTTCAGCCACAACCTGGGAAGCTGCCCCTCCAGGGGGCTTCCTGCAGTGCCCCCTCCAGCTTTCCCAGCCCTGCCCTGGCTCACTTCCACCCCTGCACGGGAGCCGGCACAGCCCACACTTCCCACCCACACCTGTCACCCTCAGGTTTTCCCACCCATCCACAATGTACAAGGCTGAGGAAGTCTCTCAGGAACTGGGAATCAGTACTTCCTCCCAAAGGGAGAGGCATCTGGCAGCGGAAGAGCCCGCACACTCCACAAGTGACCCCAAAGACCAGGACAGAAAGCAGGAATTAAAGCCGTTATCACTTACAGGTCCACCCTCGTCGCCAGGGTAACCTCGGTAGCCGTCTTCTCCAGATATGCCCTAGTAAAGGAAACAGGTGCTCGGTCACATCCCACGGGCTCCTGGGGTCCACCTGAAACGCCTCGGCCAGCCCTGTGCCTGGCCAAGAGCAGGAGGCTCGCCACCTTGCCCAGGACTGCACAGTTCCCATGCGCGACTCTGGCGCGTTTGCTTTGTCTCAAGATCTTCCCAGCTCCCACTCTGCTGAGAAAGGCCGCTAGCGCCCCGACTGCGGGGGCGACACACCCCAGCTGACCGCACTTCAGTGATGTTCACTGGCCATCTCCAGGGAGGGGGACCTGGCCACACACCCCCACCTCCACGCCACGACCAGGGACACCCAGGGTCTCCCAAGGTTCAGGAAGAGCCTCCTACCTTCGGCCCAATGCTGCCAATGGGTCCACGGTCACCCCTTTCTCCCGAGCACTTGCACGGAACCCCACAGCAGGCTTTCTCAGCAATGTTGTCCTAAGAAAGGAAAAGCAGACATGTTTAACTATCGAGTCATTCCTTGCCAAAGAATGAGTCACTAATAGGCTGGTGAAGGTGAGTCCACCAGATGCAGGTGGATTTCATGGGGCGAGATGAAATCGCTTCTGGTGGTCCTCGTTCTAAGGAGGGCCTGGACTGGAGCTGGTGGTGGTCAGGGTGGGCTTCCTCCTGTGGGCTCCTGAACCCAGACAGGGCCTTATTCCTAGGGACTGCACTTTCCCCATTTTGGGAATGCGAAACGTTACAGGAGGTCAAGGGGAGATGGGCACCTGCAGGCCACTGCAGACACGGGCACCCGTTCCTGGCTGGCCACCTCTCCCACTGCCCCAGCGGTGTTTCCAGAATCCACGCGTAGAGTGGCCGCAAGGCAGTTCTGACTGAGAATCGAACGCAGTCCCCAGGCACTCCTGCCCCGGGCACCCTGCCCCAGCCCTGCCCCAGCCCAGAACTGCCTCCATTCTCCTGAGCTTGTGTGAGATAACGTTCAGTGCTCACCAGCTGCTCTGCAAGTTCGTAATCCAGATCCAGCAGGTTCAGCCGCAGTGGCCTGTTGTACATAAACCCACGCCCAAACTCCAGCTGCGTCACCTGATCCAGGTTGGCCACCCGCTCGAGGCCCACGAAGATCAGGGCTCGGACACCTGCAAGGGGACACAGGCCATAGCAATTAACCAGCACCTTTTTTTTTAACCTCTTAAGAAAATTTAAGTGTAAAATTCAACCTTTAACCTCAGCATGCTTCCTCACACTAATTAGGCTAGGTGGACTGACCATGCCCTGTTAGCTGGATGGTTACGGTGAGTGTAGACACAGGGAGAGGCATGCGTAAGTCACCCACACGGAGACTCCCCGAGACTGGCATCCTGCCTAAGGCAACTGTGCTGTGGGCAGAATGGAAACCCCACAGCCTCGTCCTGCGGGCTGGGGACCGGCAGTCTCACTCCCACCACTGGGCAGAGCCAGCTCATCGGCAGAGCGCCCAGAGCAGACTCACTCCTTTGCATTCTCTTTCATGGAGTCACATGAGTGATTCCTCATGTCATTTCTTCTTGTGCCCCCGATGGCTTCCCAGATGAATGGGTCTTGGGACACGCAGCGAGGCACCAGGACTTGGGGATGAAGCTGCCTGACAAGGACCCCCTGTGGGCCTCATGCCGAGGCCCCAACAGGCACCAGAGGGCAGGTGCCCAGAGGAGACTCCTCCGGTGCAGCACGCTTCCTCGGGCAACTCCAGCCAACAGAGGGGCCCTCCCGTGGAGCAGTGTGCCCTGCCTCCCCCACCCAGGACGGTGCCTCTGGCACTCAGAAGGCCCTGGACTCTACCTTGCTGTCGGAGCTCCTCGGAAGCTCTGTGTAAGTCCTCCAGGTCACCGTCCACCCCGTCAGTGAAGTGAATGACCACCTGCAGATGGAGGTCAGCGTCAGACCCCAGCCCAGCCCACGGAAGGCTCATACCTCACCTGAGGATGTGGATCGGGGCCAGCACACAGGGTACCAACTGAGTGACAATACGCCACTGACTGTTTTGTAAAAGCAAAACTAAGACACTAAAATAAAAGTCCACTCCACTCTCAGTTTGTGATGGAGTTTTGAGAATGTGCAGGGACTCATGTGGTGTAAGTGTGTGTGTACGTGTGTGTATGTGTGTGTTTGTACGTGTGGGTGTCAGTGTATGGAGGGTGTCTGTGGTGTGTGCTGGCACGCCGTGTGAAGTGTGTGGCATGTGGTGTGTGTGTGAGCGTGTGGGGAGCTGTCTCTGTGAGTGTGAGTGCATGGAGGGTGTGTGCTGTGGCCTTCAGAGGAGGGTCTCTGCTGCTCTGCGCTCCCCCAGCACCCCAGCGTGGAAGTCCTCACCCCTGCCTCACCCCAAACTGTGCCTGTTGGGAGACAGTTTCTAGAGAGGCGATGAAGTCCAGGGAGGCAGCCCCCCTGCAGCATGGGACCTCATACACAGAGGACATTCGGGGACACACTTCAACAATGATGTCTTTGGATAGATTCCAAACGCAAAAAAAAAAAAACCAGTGGGATCACAATAAACACAGAAACCTCCCACAGCAGAGACAAGAACCAAGACAGCAAACTGCCCGTCTGGCAAAGCCTCGGCGTTCAGAATGTGCAAGGAACTCGAAGCTCCCCATCACAAAAAAAAAAAAAAAAAAAAAAAAACCTACTTAAAAATGAGCAATTTGCATCAGGGTGGAGGAATCCACCATGGGGGGAGGGGTACGGGAGGGGTGGGGGGAATCCCCAGTACCTATAAAACTGTATCACATAATACAATGTTAACAACAATAAAAAAAAATACAGAAAGAAAAAAAAATGAGCAACTGGTATGAACAGACACTTCTCAAAAGAAGAAATTCAAATGTCCCCAAGTTTATGCAAAAATGCTGAAAGGCGTTAATTGCCAAGGAAATGCAAACCCAAGCACCTGTGAAATCCCACCTCACCCCAGTTAGAAGGAGGCAGTTGTTTCATTAAAACAACAACAACAAAAACACAGTCATCAATGCTGACGAGGATCCAAAGAGTGGGCAGCATTGAACGGGGTCACCCGTCTGGATGACCACAGAGAGAACAGCCTAGAACTTGTCCTGGACGTGGCTAAGATATCCCTTAGGGTGCCTGTGTTCCAGCTTGGAGTTCCTGGGTTCAGGCCCCCACTCCAGCTCCTGGATGCAGATCCCTACTCATGGAGCCGCTGGAGGCCACAGTGATGGCACCGCAGCTGGCCACACACACAAGGGACCAGCTGCCAGCTCGGGCCTGTCTCAGCCCTGGCTCAAGAGCAGCAGCCTCTCTCCCTCCCCCAACCCCACCATTTTTCTTTTACCGTAAAACTTAACAAGCAAAAGGAAATACTGTAAAAAGACTCAGCAGCTCCACTTGTTAGCATCTATCCAGGGGAATTCGCATCAGCCCGTCACATACTCCTGCACTCCTGTATTTACTGCGTCACCATTCACAATGGTTAAGATACGAAACCAAGCTATGGGCCACCAGCTCATGAACAGATAAAGAACATGATGCTCTCTCATCTACAGCAAAATGGATTGTGGGAAATAAGCCAGGTACAGCAAAGCATGTCATGCTTTCTCTCACAGGTGGCAGCTGGCAAGGCTGACCGGGATGCAGAGCAGCACCTGCAGGGCGGCAGCACTCGGGGAGTCAGCTGCTCGTGCTCACAGCACCATGGGCTGTCCCAGCTCACCGAGCGCCACGCGTCAAGAAGTCAGACGTGAAGCCACAACAAGAGCAGGAGCCACGCCCCACGCCCTTGTGGTCAGCACGCATTGCACATCACATTGTACCCCAGACATACACACAACCCAACCAGGCTTCATTGTTGTACACATACAGAGAGGTCTCAGGGGAAGTCCACACCTCCAGCCCAGGACATGAGGAAATGAACGCGTGCTGTCTGGGTTGCTCCAGCTAAGGCACCGGGCAATGCCACCCTGCACAGGTTCACACGGCACTCAGAGGTGCGTGCGTGCATCTGTGGTGTGATGCCCGTGTGCAGTTTGAGTGTGGGTACAAGAACTGTGAGGCAGGAACACAACTTACTCGCTGGATAAGATACAATTAAACATGAGTTCAAGCCCAATTACTGACCCGCAGGATACACCACTTCAATGAAATTAACCAAATATACCGGAAACGCAAGCAGTGGACATGGGTCTACCCCACGCACACACAGGGCGTGTTCATGTGACACACCCCTCCCAGGACATCCTGGCAATTCCCTGCCAGGAGCCTGTGCCCCATGCCCACTCACCTTCACGGTGTCAGGCGATGACTGCCGGAACTTGTTCTGGTATAGCCGGAGTGTGTCGGCTGTGAGCACGTAGGGGTGCTGGCTTCGCATGCCACGGAACTTCTCAAACAGCTCCGCCCGGTACTCATCAAAGTCGAAGGCCTCCACGGGGCCCGTGGGCGTGTTGGCCACCACGGACACCCGCACCGTGGGTGTCTGGTTGCCGCTGCAGCTGATCCTTTGCATCTGGCTGATTCTGTTCAGGATGATATCCACCTTGGACTCGAGACCCTTCTGGGCCACAAAGACATTCTGGTCTCTTGAGCCATCAAAGCCCAGAATCACCTCCAGGTCGCAGGCTGGAAGGAGAGAGGCCAGCAGTGAAGCACGCGTCATGGCAGGCACCCCCTGCGTCCCTGAACCTCGGGTTCCAGGCCAAGCGCTGCGTCTGTCTGTGCTTCAAGGAAGAATTAGACCTGCCCCCCACCCCCGCCCAGCCCCTAGAGATGAAGGCAAAGAGCTGTGAGGAACCGCAGTGGCCTGGCGGTTAAACATGTGTGTTTGGAGCTGCTGATCTGTTTGGGCTGGACACCATCCAGTTGCTATGCAAAGACCACCCAAGTTTGCACTTTAATTTGAAGCACTGGAGGATGCAAATTCTCTGACAGCACCAGCAGATCTAGAAAGCCTAGGATCAGAAACACAGGTCAATAAATCGGATTTATTCAGGACATTAAACAGGAGGAGGGTGTGCAACTCTATGGTACAGCCAGCTCGGCAGCCACCTGACACAAAGGCGTCCCACACGGGCACCGGTTCACACCCCGACTGCTCCACTTCCCAGCCAACTTCCTGCTAACACACCTGGGAAAGCAGCAGAAAATGGCCCACACAGGAGACCCAGAAGTGGTCCCAGGCTCCTGGCTTTAGCCTGGGCCAGCTGGAGAGTGACCCAGTGGATGGAAGCACACTTTCTCTTTCCATCTCTCTCTCTCTTTTTCTCCTCTCTGTAACCTTGACTTTCAAATAAATAAAGAAATCTTTGTAAACAGAGGCAGGAAGAGGAACAGTGCATCTCCCGTGGGCCTTGATTGGACGAGCTCCCTACAGCAGCAGTCAGAGGAGCACTGGGACCGTGGTGTCTGCTAGAGTTTAAAGCCCCCCAACCGAATGCTCTAGAAAGCTGTGGAGCAATCGTGGGGTCTTAGGGGGTTGTGACTACAGACAGGACCAGACCACATCACACCCGCAGAGAGATGCGCCACGCACGTGGAGGACTGCACCACGCACGCGGAGGACTGCTCCACGCACGCAGAGGAATGCACCACACACGCGGAGAACTGAACCACGCACGCGGAGAACTGAACCACGCACGTGGAGGACTGCATCCCACACACGGAGAACTGAACCACACACGCGGAGGACTGCTTCACGCACGCGGAGGACTGCACCACGCACGCGGAGAACTGCACCACGCACGCGGAGAACTGAACCACGCATGCGGAGGACTGCACCCCACACGCGGAGGAATGCATCGGAGGACTGCTTCACGCACACGGAGGACTGCACCCCACACGCGGAGGACTGCTCCACGCACGCGGAGAACTGCACCACGCACGCGGAGAACTGAACCACGCACGCGGAGGACTGCTTCACGCATGCGGAGGACTGCTTCACGCACGCGGAGGACTGCACCACACACGCGGAGAACTGAACCGCACACACGGAGGACTGCTCCACACACGCGGAGGACTGCACCACGCACACGGAGGACTGCACCCCACACGCGGAGGACTGCTCCACGCACGCGGAGCACTGCACCATGCACGCGGAGGAATGCACCGCGCACGCCAAGAGGCTCACCTTTGGAAACATCGCTCACACCAGGGCACAGGGTCTCGTGCATGGCATCGTGCAGCGTCTCCAGCACCTGCTCGCTCAGCTCCGACAGCTCCTGGACGTTCCCCACACGGAAGGCCGTGGCGCTGTTGGAGGCGATCTTCCCCACCTCCTCCGAGTCAATGTTCCTCACGCCCACCGCGAACACCTTGACCCCTTTCTGCGTGAGCGCCATGCTCACGTCCTGAGCATCCTCCACCGACTTGCCCCCCGTGATGACAAAGGCAATCTGAGGCACCCGCTGCTCCAGGCGGCTTCCGGCGTCAGGCACAAAGTGGTTCAGGCGCAGGTGCTCCAGGCCCACCTTGGTGTTGGCGTGCCTCCCCCCCTTGTAGATGACCTTATTGATGGCATCAATGATCTGCTTCTTGGTGGAGTACTCCCTCAGGAAGAACTCGTCCGTAGGGTCGGAGTTGTACTGCACCAATCCCACCTGGATGGAGTCGCCCTCCTCGTAGACTGTATCCACGATTCCAGACGCAAATCGGAGCACCTCCTGGAAACTGTCCCTCCTGAAGTTGATGGACCCATCCAACAGGAACACGATGTCGGCTTTCTTTTTCTCTAAAAGTGGTGGAAGCGAGAATGAGGCCAGCAAGGTTCCCATACCCAGAATAGAAATACATAAGATAAGAATGAAATACGAAAAGGCCCGGCACGGTAGCTAAGCAGCTAAAGTACTCGCCTTGAACATGCCAGGATCCCATATAGGTGCAGGTTTGTATTCTAGCAGCCCCACTTCTCATCCAGCTCCCTGTTTGTGTCCCAAAGCCTTGGGACCCTGCACCCGCATGGGAGACTGGAAAGAGGCCCCTGGCTTCTGATCACTGCAGCTTCGGCAATTGCGGCCGCTTGGGGAATGAATTAATGGATACAAGATCTTCCTGTCTGTCTCTCTTCCTCTCTATATATCTGACTATCCAATAAATGAACAAATAGATAAATAAATCTTTGAAAAAAGAATGAAATGCTGAAACTGGTCTTGGTAACTTCACCACAATGAAAACCTTCACCCTACCTCCTCATTCCTGAACTCAGCCCCCCAATTTTTGCTGACAATCAAGATACAGGATGAAAATCTTCCAAAGGAAGGGGAGAGGATCAGGAAAAGGCAGCTTTCTGAAGCCCAAGGCTCATGCCAGGAATCCAGCAGGGAGCTGCCCTGGACAGTCTGTGTCCCAGCTGCTTTGGAAAATCCACTATAAACATTCTGATAAAAAGAAGAGAGAGTGTTGGCAGACTGGGGCACTTGGGGAAGGCGGGGCAGGGCAGAGGCAGTGCCAACAAGGACTGGGAAAATGCACAGCAAATGCAGACACAGTGGGGGTTTTCCAAAAGCTCTCTGGCTGCAAGGCAGTACCAAGTGAAGGCCAGTTTGCGGCTTCTAGTTCAGCTGTTGGGACTGGAGTGGAGAGAAGGCGCAGTTGTAGAGCTTGTGGGAGGTGCAGCAGGTGCCACAGCCAGCCCCAGGGCAGCAGAAAGAGGGTCCAGGAGGGCCATCCCTGGAGAGCCAGATGGCAGAGCTCAACCTCAGGGAGGAGGGCCAAGGCTGCTCCTGGCAGCCTCAGAGGTGACAGCCAGGGGCCCAGGACAGGCCGGAGGTGGACAGCTTCCCCACCCCAGGGGTGGGCTGGAGTGGACGGCTTCTGGTCCTACCAGGGAGGGGTTTCTTGAAGTTCACAACAATCTGAAGTAGAAGTTGTACTGGACTGTGGCGGACTCCCTGAACCTCACCACAGTACGACCAGGCTGACTCCATAGCTGTGGTCAGTGGGGTATGGGCGGCTGACTTCACAGACACTGTGCAGTGCCTATGGCCGACCTCGACACGTTTCTAGGGGCTACAGTTCTCCCCAGGGGGATGTGAGACCTGTGACCATGCACCCGTCCTTCTAGAAAGCATCTACTACCTGGTTGCTAATGTCTGCAGAGACTTCCCCAAAAGAAGGAACTCATGGCCTGAGTGGGAATTGCTCCTGCAATGGTGGAACGCCCCAGCGGTCACAGGTCACCCATGCATACCTGGCCGAGAAGGAGAAGGCATTTCCACCCCAGGAGGTGCCGGGGTGGCCCCAGAGGGTCCGAAGGATGTTGCGAGCCGTTCCTCGATGCTGGGGAGGTCGGTGAACTCGCGCACCGTGAACACCAGCCGGGGGTCGTTGGTGATGCTCTGTATCTCCGTCCTGCCTGCGTTGCGGGCGCCCACACCCACACTCACGATCCCTGAGGAGCGCAGCACCTGTGCGAACCTGGACACGTCATCCTGGGACGTTCCCCCCAGCAGCAGGACCAGGTGCTGGGGCACCCCGTCCTCGATCCGGCTCCCGGCCGACTTCACAAACAGATTCCTGGCCACGTACTCTAGGGCTTTGCCCGTGTTCAGCGGAGAGCCCCCTTTGAACCTCAGGCGTCGGATGGCTTCGAGCACGGGACCCTTGGACCGGTAGGTCTTCAGGTAGAACTCAGGGAACACGTCGTTGCTGAACTGCACCACCCCGATCCTCACTTTACTCGGGCCGATGTTGAACCTCCCCACAATCCTGCTGATGAAATCGCGGATGTGTGCCAGGCCATCGGGTCGGACGCCGTCAGAGCTGTCAATGAGGAAGACGACGTCTGCCGCGTCAGTCTCCACGGCTGCAGAGAAAGGGGCGAGCAAGGGGCCCGGTCAGCACGCGCCGGCCGCCACCAGGCTCTTCTCCTGCCTCGTTTCTGAGCTGTGCGTTCAGCTGCAGGGTTCCCTGACAAGCATATGTGGTTTGTTTTGGGCTTTTTTGGGGAAATTAATGATTAAAAAATTAATCCTTTTGTAAATAGCCAAAGTTGTTTCAGCTCAGTTCTCTTTCTAAGTCATCTCTGTTGATTTTGGCTCTGAGGGCTGGACCGCTGCTAACTCACAGAATGCTAACATCCCTTCGAAACCCGATGTGGACTTTACCAATAATCCACAGATTGTAAACTCTGGCCCCCAGGAAAGTGGGTGATTAGCGGGTCTGACATCTGTGTTGGCAAGAGGAGAGGCGGCCGTGGCCAAAAAGCACACTCAGAGGTGACCCTGAAAGTTCTCGATTCTGTCGCCACAGACCCAGTCTGCCCACTCACCGGGCACTGCTCTCTGCACACGCATCTCTGTAGAGTGTCCACAGCAGGTGCATGGTACGTTCATGACTACTGCCCATCTTATTCACCCATGAGTCAGCTTTTTACCCCAACCTGACGCATTGAAACCCAAAATGCTGCATCATCGGCAGTGTCATGACATTCAGGTGATGCCACGTTTGGATTCCACACATTCAGACTCTGCCTCGGGCACAGATTGACCCAACGACAACATGCCCTGTGGGTGTCAGGACTGGCACATGTTTCAGCTCGCCTGTCCTCCCTGGGGTCGCTCAGGAGGTCTAAAAAGCTGCTCATGAAGGATGTTCAACCTGCACAAAGTCACAGCAGCTTCTGGGAGGGTGGGTCACTTGGCCCGTTTGTAGGACATTATCGTTGGTCCCATCACTGAGCTGTCACCTGGCAGAACTCTGCTACCACTGCCTCTTCCACAGCCAGTCTCTGTGCAGTGGATGCTGAGAGCTGAGAGGTCCATGTCCCAGAATCACTCACTCTGCCATAGACAGGCAACCTCTGGCCCTGGAGAGCCAGCCCCGCCCCTTCCCAGAATGTCAGCATCCTACAAGGTCAGGCTGTGACCACACTCAGGCAGGATGGAAATGGGGCCACTCTAGTGTCACATCTGACCACCAACAAAACAGGAGTGCATCCAGTGCCCCCAAAAGACCCATAGACCCTGTCCAGCCAACATGGTGGAGGTCGTTGCCTCCTCACCAGCCTGTGCCAAGGCCTGCACTCTCCTAGGTAAGAGCCATTACAGTGCCCGATTTCAGGGGCTGGTGTTGCAGCATTTCCAGTTAACCCAGTACTGTGACACCAGTGTCATATCAAAGTATGGGCAATGTCCCAAGAGCGCCCTGCTATTCAATGTGCATGCTTGGACATCTGCCACCCATGTGGGAGACCCAGATGACCTTCCTGGCTCCTGGCTCAGGCCTGGCCAACTCCTGGCTATTGTGCCCATTTGTGGAGTGAACCAGTAGATGGAAGGGTTCTCTCTCTCAACTACCTCTAATTCTTGACAACATTCAGTCTCCGCCAAAATCCACTTTCCTTGTGTGCTCCCCAATGTCCTTTCCACACCTCGACCTTGAGTATCCTCTCCCACACCCTCCCATGGAGGTGCCTCATGGCACAACCACCACCCACAGACACAGCATGCTCCTACTAAGAGGTATCTCGGTGGAAATGGAAGGGTGGGCATTGGCCAAGTGGCACAACCTTTACTTTAATTCAACCCATGAACAAGCTGGCCTCAAAGACCACCATATTACTGTCACAAGATGCCCCAAGGGGAGTGACCCCTGAGCCTGGCAGTCATACCTGGAGCAGGGTAGCTGGTGGCAGACAGGATCCGCTGGATCTGCTCAGCAGTCAGGGTGGTGATTGGCGTCAGCAACTTCTGCTCCAGGCTGGGCAGCTCCCGGAAGGAGCTGACAGAGAACACATACTCAGGGCTCAGCGAGATCTTCACCAGCTCCTCACGGTCGGCACCCCTGGCCACAGTGAACGGGGCCACACCAGACTGCTTGAGCTCGGCAGCGAAGTCGTCTACCTCATCGTCAGACTTGCCCGAGGAGATGAGCACCAGGAACTGTGGCACGCCCTCCTCGATGCGGCTGCCCAGTGGCCTCTTGAAGATGTTCCTGGACACGTACTCCAGCGCCACCCCGATGTTGGCCTGCTGCCCGCCCTTGGGCCGTAACCGCCGCACGGCGCTCTGCACCTCATCCTTGCTGGAGTGTGCATTCAACAGGAACTCCACCCTGGGGTCCTCGCTGAACTGGATGACAGCCACCCGGGTGGTGTCAAAGCCCACGTCCAGGTTCCCAACCATGTTCTCAAGGAAGGTGCGGATGTACTGGAACTCGGGGCCGGCACCCTGGGACCCGTCGATGAGAAACACCACGTCCTTCTTGTTGCTCATGCCTGCAACCACATACCACCGCGGGATTCAGCCCAGTGGGCACCAAAGATGGTGTGAGCGAGCCGCCCACCAGTCTGCCATACAGTCACTGCCCTGCACGTGAGGGATCCTACCACCAAGTCCTGTGTTAGAACACTGGGCCAGAGTGGTCCACGGAATGAGCCATGAATGCATCTGAGTCTGCAGGTTGCCGAGCAGAGGAAAAACCGTAAAGCATGAGGAAGTAGAGCAGCAGGGTCTACTCCAGGACAGGCTTCTGTCTCGGGACCGAGAGAGCCTCAACCAGGCACATGCTCCTCGCAGGCCAGGTAGGACGACCCACTGGGCTTGGGCACCTGGTGGGAGCTGGCCCAGAGTATTCTGGGGAACAGTGAGCAGGAAGGCCACCTGGAGGTGGATTCAGAGAAGAGGAGGAGGAGGAAGCTGGAGTGTGAGTGAGTCTGTAAAGAGGAGATGGCCACGAGAGGAGGGGAAGGTGGCAGCCACAGCAAGCTCAGACAGGTGGAGGGAACACCGTGCCCTCCTCTGGGCCAGCGGGTGGAGAGCAGAGGAAGCTAAGCAGGTGGAGGGTTGCAGGAGATGGTTCTGAGCAGCTGGGAGTTTGGGAGGACTTTGGAGGTACGGCGCCCAGCAGCAGGTGGATCCCAACTTAACCCACAGCTTCTGTTCCTGGTGCTCTGCGTTACGGAGGAAGCAGACCTGAAAAGTCTCAACAGCCCAGAGTCTAAACAAGTGGTCCCAGGTGATTGCAAAGAACTAGACCCACCCCCCAGCTGCAACCAGCCCCACCAAACTCCCTCCTCACCTGGCACCGTCTGGGGTGGAAAAAAAGGCTGCATCCTGCTCAGCTCCTCTCGACTGAGCTGGGTCACCCGCTCCGAGATGACCTGCTGGACGGTGCCCAGCTGTCGGAAGGTAGGGATAGCCACGGCAAAGTCGGGGATGAAGGATATGGTTTGCATCTCGGTGATGTCAGCATTGCCGATGCCAATGCCGATGGGCACGGCCCCACCCTTCTTGAGCACCACCGAGGGGCCCTGCACGTCGTCCCCGGACCTGTCTGCCGTCAGCACGATGAGGAGCTGGGGCACGCCCTCCGCTATCCTGCTGCCGGCGGAGCCCACCAGGATGTTTTTCAAGACGAAGTCCAGGGCGGCCCCCGTGTTGGGGGTGGGGCCGCCCAGTGGCGCCAGGCGGCTGATGGCGTTGAGCACGCCCTGCTGGTCCATGAAGGAGTTGAGGTAGAACTCGGGCCGGGTGCGGTCACTGTACTGCACCAGGGCCACTCGCACACGGTCGGGCCCCACGTCCAGGCTCTCCACCACTCGCTGCACGAACTCTTTCAACAGAGGGAAGCCGCTGCGGACGCTCTCGGAGCCATCGATCAGAAACACCACATCCTTCTCCCCTGAGACTGGGAAGAAAGCAGCCAGGAGTCACACGGGGCCCTGTGGATGACCACCCGCCTGCGCCAGGGCCGCGAGCTGGCTCCCTGCGGAGGTCCAGCTCTAAATCCCCCAGTGTGGGAGCAGGGCGAGATCTCAGGTCCAACCAGTGAGAACCTAACAGTCAGGGAGATCGTGGCCCAGAGGGGCCTCATGGCACCAGTCTCAAAGAGAGACGAGGGCCAGAGAGAGGAGTCAGAGCTGGCCCCGGGGCTGCAGTAGCGGCCAGGAGCCTAGGAATGCGGGCACCTCTCAGAGCTGGCAAAGGTTGGGAAGCAGGCAGCCCCACACCACCTCTAGTCTATGGACACCTGGCCCCCAGCCCAGGGAGATCGCTCCCCAAGTTCAGGATCCACACACAGCTGTCATCCAGGACAGCACAGCAGGTGAAGCCACCGGGCTGTAACCGCGACCGGAGGCCAGTATGCTCAGCATGGCACCTTCATGGAGAATTCTTCACGCTTCCCACAAGATGTACTGAGGGAGGCAGTGTTGTGGCATAGGTGGTCAGGCCTCTACCTGGGGTACTCACACCCCACTCCAGGTCCACCTGGGGGAGGCAGGAGGTGGCCCAGGTGCCTGGGTTCCTGTCATCCACATGAAAGACCCAGCTGGAGTTGCTGGCTCCTGGCTTCAGCCTGGCCAAGCCTCAGCTTTGTGGTCATTAAGAGTGAGCCTCGCTTCTCCTACCCCTTCTCCCTCCAGCTTGCTTTCAAATAAATGAATATAGTCTTACATAGTTTACATATGAAAGAAAATTCCAGCCTGGGAGGAGTTGGGGGGACAGCAAAGCCACGGTCACCCTTGGCCTCTTGCAGACGGGACAGGAGGCGTCCAGCTCTCTGCTTTAGCCACAAGCGGATCAGCAGGGGAAATGTCACCCAGACCCCCGCTGTAAGATACGGAAGCCAACCACCCTGATTCTCCTGGGTCGTCCTAGAGAACGGCTGAAAGGTGAACAAGCTTTTCCTTCTACAGAAGTGTAAATTTCTGCTTATCTCCCAGCCTCCCTGAGAACCTCAGAGGGGTTCCCACCCCGGGGAGCTGACGCTGGCCACCTGCCCTGCTCAGGTCCTGGCCGCGTGCACTGGCCGCCCGCCCCGCCCCGCCCCGCCCAGCTGTACCTGGCGCTGGAGCCCCGTTCTGCACGGATTTCAGGAGGTTCACAACCTGCGGCTGCAGGTCCCCGATCTTGGGCAGTGACTCTGTCACCAGGATGAAGGCGGGTGACGGCACGATCTTCTCCAGCTCGGCGGGGTCTGCGTTCTTGGCCTGGAAGATGAAGGGCACCACGCCGCTCCTCTTGAGGCCTTCAGCCGGGCCGTCCACGCGATCGGAGGAGCGGCCAGCCACCAGCAGCACCAGGAACTGCAGCACGCCGTCCTCGATGCGGCTGCCGGCCGACTTGACGAACACGTGTCTCTGCACGTAGTCAAGTGCGTAGCCCAGGTTCAGGGATTTGCCGGTCTTGATCTTCATCCTCTTCACGTGGTTCAGGATGTCTGGCTTGTGCAGGTGCTCGTCGAAGCGCGACTCCACCTTGACATCGTCGCTGTACTGAGCCACGGCCACCCGGGTGCCCTCGGGCTGCACGTCCAGCTCCTCGATGACCCTGTAGACAAAGTCGCGGACGGCGGCGAACTGGCCCACGAGGTTGGCTGAGCCGTCCAGGAGAAACAGAATGTCTCGCTTGCTCTCTACAAAGAAAGTTTGACCAGGACACAGTGAGTAAGGAGACTGCAGCAGGTGCCATATGGCTGCCAGCCCAGTGCCACCATCCCTCACTCATGCATCCGCTGCCACTGTACCAGCAAGAGGCGCAAAACCATGCATGCCTTGCAGAAATGTCCTATTGCAAAGCCGAGTGTGAGGGTCAGACGACAGCCGACCTCGCTCAGCCTACCCAGCCCAGGGTCACGTATCCTTGACAATACCCCACTGGCTGGTACTGTTCTTGCAACACATGGCATTAGCCCAGGAGGGCAGACAGCTCTTTCGAGATGCCCGTAAAGGAAGTGACTGACAGCATGACCCTCAGTGAACTCCGTCCTCAAGCATGGGCCTCATTTGCGGGAGAAAGACTGGCAAGAGTCAGCTGTCAGAGAGCGTGAAGTTGCCACGTGTCAGCCCTGAACGGATGAGGTTTAAAACATGCCCATCATTCCTCCGCCTATGTTTCCCGAAGCCCAGTAATCCAACAGCAGAAAGCACAGGTGCACAGCCCACAGGGGACCATGCGCGGGGTGCTGCTTCTCATTCAGAGAGTTCTAGAACTGCTATGGCCAGGTTTCCCTCAGTTAATCTTGCTGCCTATCCATGTGACACCAGCAAGCTGGTGGAACAAACACATCCCTGTGTGAATTAAGGAGGATCCAAACTTCTCCGGGAAACCATTCTATACCACACTTCACACGTGCTTTTAAACTCCAGCCAGTTTAGAACACAAAATCTATTTGGAGAAAACGAGCTAGCCTGTGTGCTTGGCATCGAGGCAGAGGCCACTCGGGGTTGCCCACACCCGGGGCTCCTGCCCCAGGGCTGCTCCCAATGCCAGCACCTGCTGAAGCCAACCCCAGGACGCAGTGGGGGGAGGCTGCAGTCCTTGGGGTCCGACCACCCAAGTAGGTTAGCCACATTCAGTCCTTAGCTCCTGGCTTTGACTCAGCCTCGCCCTGGCTGCTGCAGACATGTGGAGCGTGAACCAATGGTAGAAGATCTCTCTCTCTCTCCTGCCCTTTACATCAAATAAAAGTAAATGATTTTTTTTAAAGTTGTACAAAAGAAAATAGTTTCAGTTTTTAGATAACTGAAGGCTTCTCCAGCATGACCCCATCGCCTCCCAGTCTCGGCCAGCTGGATTTCCACTCCAGAATAAAGGGTGAAAAGTGCTGGACAAAGCATGAGCTGGCTGTTGTAGGCACCCTGCCACCAAGAAGCTGAACTTGCTGGTACAGTGGCACAAGCCCCCCTCCCAGAGCCCACCATCTTTCTACAGCTCGCCAGGCTCCTGAGATCAGCTGGGTGAAGGACCTGCAGGGGCGGCGTCCAGGGAAGCAGAGGGAGACCCGTGCAGGCAGGCGGGTTTACCTGGCTGGGCGAGTGGAACTTCCTGCACACCTCCGCTAACATAAGTGGTTAGGGGCTGAATCAGCTGCTGCGGCAGAGCTGGCAAGGAGCTGAAATCGTCCATGAGATATACCAGGCTGGGGTTAAAAGCAATCTGCTCCAACTCGGCCCTATTGGCCTGGCTGGCCCCCACGCAAAAGGTCAGGATGCCCGCCCGTGCCAAGGCGTTGGCCGCTTGCAAATATGAGTCCTCCGCCTGCCCCGCCGTGAGCAGGAGCAGGAGCTGCGGCACGTCCTCGCGGATCCTGCTGCCGCCGGCTTCGCTGAAGTGGTTGGCATGGACATAACTCAGGGCAGAGCCCGTGTTCAGGCCCGTCCCCCCTTGCAGCTGGAGCCGCCTCACGTGGGCAAGCAGCTCCGACTTGGTCTCATACGTGTCTAGGGAGAACTCCGTCACCGGAGTCTCGCTGAATTGCACTAAACCGACACGAATGCTGTCCCTTCCGACATCAAGGCTGCTCACTAGGCTCGTGACAAAGTCTCGCACATAAGGGAAATTGGTCTTGCCCACGTTGACCGATCCATCCAGAAGGAAGATGATATCCCTTTTGTTTGCGTGAACTGCGGTGAAGCATAGAAAACAAAGTGAGACGCACGCGACCCCAGCCAGGGGCCGTCCTCATGTGTGCGCGACTCCGAGCACACATGCCTGACGTGGAGAGCAGAGAGAGGCAGTGCAGCAAAGCACGCCGTCAGACACAGCAGGTGGCTGCTGTGGTCCTCCAGCGGTGACCCAGGCCAGCGAGGCAAGCCTACAGCGGGGGGCTCACGCATTCAGACAGTGCCAAAGTAAGAGTGTTCACAGCCTGCCATGTCCTCAGGATCTTCCCAGAGCGGGGATCTGCACAGGCGCTATGCCCTGCGGTGGCACTAACCCCATGCCCACACACACAGGCAGGTTCACCTGCTCCCGTTTACACAGGAACCACCTCCAGCAGCCTACAAGTTTCACCTGAGGACATGCGCTCCTTGAAGCTGAAACCCACTGGCTCTCGGTTTCAGGTTCCCTGGGACCTCCTACTGGCCATTCTCAACCAAACTCTCCTACCAGGAGTCACCACATTGCCAGGCAGTAACAACAGATCCTGGAGCTCATCCAGGAGAGCAGGATGAGCAGAGCGGGGGACCCGGTAAAATGCGGATCTGCTGTCCTTGGCCGCTGTCCTTGACTCCCCGTCTCGAGCATTTCCCTGCACACATTAAGCATGCTTTCTAAGCTCCAGCCCCAGCCCCGTCCTCTGCCCCGTGGTCTCGCCATCATCTGCACTGAACAGCTCCTTTTGTCCCACTTTGGCTGTGGGCTGGGATTGCAGAAGAGAGGAGGGTGAGAGAGGTTTCCAGAGGAGCAGAGAGAGAGCATGCGTCCGTGCCGTCCAGGGATGTGTGGGGAGCCCTGCAGTGGGGGAGCGGGGAGTGGGGGTGCAGAGTCGGAGTCCATGATATGCATCTTCTCTTCATGGGGGACGGTGGCCTGCATTTACTCGCTCCCTACGCTCATAAGCCTTTATTCTGCCTCAGAGTACATTTCCCACAGCAGCCCCGTGGCCTCTTCTGCCCCGCCTTTCAATGTACTCCCCCCACCCATGCATGGAAAGGAGAGCAGAGGGAGAGGGGAGGCGCTCTCGGTGCTCCCCCTGTGCTGCACACAGGTCGGGAAGGACAGCCAGGCTCCGTCCTGGAGGTAAGAAAGGGGTGAGGGGCGGGCAGAAACGGAAAGCAACCGGGACCTGGCCAAGGAGGACACCCGACCACAGCCTCGCACACAGGCAACCCCGGAACCCAGAGCTTAAGTCACACGCTTCTTCCTGTTGGGTGTTTGGGGCCACACAGCTCTTCACCCGAGCCCAACGGGAATCCAGACTAACTCTTGCTCCCACAGCTTTTCACCACTGACCCTAGCCGAGCCCAAATCACACTTTTGGGCTTTTACTCTCAAGGATTCTGCCTGCACAGCACCCCGCTGTGTCTGGAGCCATGGTCACCATACCTTCCGTGGTCCCAGAGAGGGTACGCAGGGGTGCCAGCAAGTTGATCAGCATGTTTTGGAGCGGGGCGGCCCGGAACTCGGTCGTGGTGAACACCAGGGTGGGGTCAAAGGCGATCTCCTCCAGTTCCAGCTGATCGGCCACGCTGTTGCCCACGGCAAAGGCCAGGATGCCACTCCTCTTGAGCTCCTGGGCCGGCTGGCTGATGTCATCCTGGGACTTGCCACCTGTCAGCAGCACCAGCAGCTTGGGCACGCCCTCGGAGGCCCGGTAGCCGGTGGAGCTGGTGAACAGGTTGTTGCGCACGAAATCGAGAGCGTAGCCCGTGTTGAGGGCCGAGCCGTCCAGCAGCTTCATCCTCCGCAAGGCGGTGATGACCTCCCGCTTGGTCTGGTAGGTGTTGAAGTTAAACTCGGGCCTGACGCTGTCCGCATACTGGACTACCGCCACCTGGATCAGGTCCTGCCCGATCTCCAGCCGCTGGATGATCTTGATGATGAACTCTCGGATGGCGTTGAAGCTGGCCGGTCCCAGTCTGGCTGAGCCGTCCACCAGGAAGACTATGTCCCTCTTGTTGACCTCCACGACTGTAGGCGACAACATCACAGAGTGAGGACGACACCTCGCCAATGACATTCAGCATGGCGTTCTACGAAGCCAGCTGCCCTCCAAAGACATCACCCTCCCTGCTGGCCAACGCCCCAGGGACTTGCCACGATACACGTGTGAGCCCTGGGTACAGCCTGCCCTCCCACCCTGCCTGCTCAGGAGAACCTTCTAGAAAGCAATTCCAGTTGCAGCAGCTAACTGCTTAGCATGTGGTCACTAACATGTTAGTTCTTTGCGGCCATAAACATATAATTTGGCCAGAATGAAATCACAAGTTGAATGACTAATTACAGAAGTCGTTAGTGGTGACTCAGCTGCTCACGGTCTTGGTTTTAGAAATACTCAGTGTTAAGTTCAGAGGCCCCTTGAGCGTATCACCCCACACCGAGCGCCCCCCTCCCCGCCTTCAGTTCTATCCTCCACTTCTTCATCTCTCATGCCCTCCCCCTCCAAAACAAAAATAAACAGCCCTACTTGGCAACATAAAACTTGTAAAGAAAGAAAAATCAACACCAAAGCCAGGAAGCAGCACAAGTTTTCACACCAGGGACATGTGATGTGTGAACACTGTGATAAGTTAGGGGGAATCAGAGCAAGCAGTCACCCACACACATACACACACACACGCTGAGAACTCCCACTCAGCACAGAAAACTCAGTCAGACCACAGCGCCCAGCCCAGAAACCTGAGCGCTTCCAGACAGGGTGGGAGGCCAGAGCCCGCCTGCGCCCCCTCACTCTGCAGCCCCCAGCCACCACAGGGCAATGGAAGCAACCTGGGCACGGTCACCCCTTCCGGCCTTTCCTGACTTCCTTCGTTTGAGAACCTCCATGTCTCTGAGCTGCCCCTTCGCTTCTGGTTTAAAATATCCTTGCAAGGGACCGGTGCTATGCTGCAGCGAGTTCAAGTCCCAGCTGTTCCACTTCTGATCCGACTCCCTGCTAATGGCCTGGAAACACAGCGGAAGACAGCCCAACTGCTTGGACCCCTGCCACCCACACGGTGACTCAGAAAAAGCTCCTGGCTCCTGGCCCAGCCGTGGCCAGTGCGACCAGCTGGGGAGTAGACCAATTTATGGGAGCACATGTTGCTCTTTCTCCCTCTCGGAAACTCAGACTTTCAAATCAATAAATTTTTTAAATAAATACGAAGATGTCTGCACGGACAAACCTGACGGTGTTGCTGTCCACTGGGCTCCTCAGCCCTCTGCACCCTTAGAGATGACACGCATGCACACACAGGCATGCTCTGCCCCAGGAAGAATACTCCACATTGCCACCAACATGTTGGCAGTGAGTCTCATCCAGGGCAGACGGACACGCCCAGAACCCCTGGGCAGGCTTCAGTCCCTGCATGCTGCACCCTTCATCATGGTCGTCGGCGTGGAGCAGCGCGGGGGCCTGGAGGGAGCTGTGTTGTTCTCCCTGTCCCTCGTGTTCACGCCTGTCCTGTGGTACCACTGCAAGTCCCACAGGGGTAGAGAAGGGGGACCAGCATCCACATCCGGTAAAACACAAAACCTTGGGTCCTCCTTGCCCCCTTTGGATTTGGTGAGAGGCCATGGGGGTTTGACGGGCAGGTAAAGGCCTGGGGAGCACCTCACCCATAGCACACCCCAATATGTAAGGACTGAGACATCCAAAACCATTCCACATTTGTGTTGGCTGAGTGACTTTGACTTGACCCACACTGGGGATTCCAGACCACACATGGGTGGCCAAGGCCAGCAGCTAACCTGCACCTAAAAGTCTGACTCCATCCTGCCTCTGCTCTTGGCCACTGCCTGACAACAGCATCACCAAGGACACGGGAGCCGTTGTGGCAGACAGCCCCTCCCCTCTTCCTTGCCTACCCTCAATTCCATCTTCTCCCCAGCACAGCTGCCCAAGGACATTGCTTTGCCAACATAACCAGTGCCGCCATGTGGTACATTCAGGGGGCGCTGGTGGTTGTCTCCCTCCGGGGTTTCTTGGCACAGGAGTCCCGGTCCCCCCACCTGTCACCCTACACTCCTGTGTGCTCCCATCACTGATGATCCTCCCAGACCCCCTGCCCAGAGTTTGGTTCCCATTCCCCTGCTTTACGACTGTTACTGCTCAAGGCTCTTCCTATGGGCCTCCCTCTCTCTCCCCCTCTCTCTCTCCCTCTATCTCTCCTCCGATGACACACCCCACAGCAAAGCTGATGCTTCTCTCCCCACTAAGCCAGCTGCTTCATCAGGCACTGCTGTCTGTCTCCCCCATCTGTGTGTTCCAACTGCCCAACCTGCAACTCCTTTTGCTGGGCCCTTTCCCCTCTGTTCACTTGCTCGTCTCCTGCCCACCCCGCTGCTTCTTGGCGTGCCTCAGGCCCTGTGAGTGTCTTCACCTAAACTGTGGCCATCTAGGACTACCCCACATTGCTGCTGTCTCCCCTTGACATGGCACAGACCAGCCAGGTCCACCTTGCTCAGCAGCACCATGTCTCCAGGGCTTGCTGCAGCCCCACACCTGCCTGGTGGTGAGGACTTGTCTGTTGAGTCTCTGCAAGGGGGTCACTAACATTTAGACAAGACCCACAGACAAGGAGCTGCTGGGGGAGATGTAAAGGGAGTGGGGGGCTGCACAGGGCTTCTGATGCTAACTTCTCCGGGAACACACGGGTTTTTGTCTAGTACAAGTTCTTCGCCATAAATGCAAGAGACTAAAGACCAAGTTCTGCCCACAGTTCACTGATATGGGACCAAGGACCAGAGATGGGCCTCCCACCCATAGGCCACTGTCCCCCACTGCTCACAAAGAGGCTGGCTTGCTTCCAAAAATGCACAAACCCAGAGGAACTGGGCTGCAGGAAACTTCCACTTGGCTGTGTCCTTAACTGTCAGGGCCACAAAGCAATGCCACGATGAGAGTGAGTGTGAGCAGCTCAAAGCACTGGGCAGGCAGGTCTTCCTGTCTACATTGCCTGTTCAAGCCGCAGGTAGGTCCCGACCCCTGGGGCCTGTGGTTCTTCCTGTCTACACTGCCTGTTCAAGCCGCAGGCAGGTCCCGACCCCTGGGGCCCGTGGTTCTTCCTGTCTACACTGCCTGTTCAAGCCACTCTAGGATGCAGGTTGGGTCCCTGTCTACACCGTCTGGTCAGTGAGGATTCCGCCAGTTCTAATGAGCTGGAAGCCCAAATGAGTTCAAACTCACAACACAGTGCCCTGGCCTTGTGACTTGCACAGATGTCATGAGTTGGCTTGTCTAGAGAGTAATTTCATGCCAGCATCCCTGCCACACTCCTGAGCTCTCGGCCTGCAACGGTCCCTGCACCCCAAAGTCTGTGCGGAAACCACATCAAGCTAATTCCTCTTGTATTTCCCAAGCCTTGGATAGAAACGGAGACCACCTTTATATTTACGCGAAGAACTCATGATGGGTGAAATGCTACCATGTGGAGGTTGCTCCATTCATGTGGCAATAAAGAAGTTCTTCACTGGGAGCTGACGGGATGGCTCAGTTGGCTGAGCTAGCTAACCATCCACTTGCATGCACTGGCATGCACATGGGCACCGGTTCATGTCCTGGTTGTTCCACTTCCCATCCAGCTCCCTGCTTATGGCCTGGAAACGTGAAGAATGGCCCAGAGCCTTAGGTCCGGGCACCCATGTGAGAGACCCACAAGTTCCTAATTCCTGGCTTTGGATCAACTCAGCTCTGACTGCTGCAGCCATTTCGGCAACGAACTAGCAGATAGATATTCTCTGTGTCTCTCCTCTCTATAGATCTGCCTTTTCGATAAAAATAAATCCTTTTTTAAGAAAAGGTTCTTCATTAAGACTTTAGAATGACCCATTTTAAATTTCATGCAATGCTGTCCCTCAAACACGCTTACTGCTGAATTATTGCTAATCATTTTTCCTACCTGAAGAAGCATAGAAAACATACTGAGGAGGCAGGTAAAGCAGAATGCAGAATTTGTTGTGCCAGGTCCTCACCCAGGCCCTTTTCCTACGAAGCCAGCAAGCAGGAGCCGGCTGTGATCATGGGTCACTCCACAAGAGACGATGGGAGTCGGTTGTCACCAGCAGCAGCCAGAGCCCTCCAAGACTCAGCACCTGTCCAGCAGTTTGCACTGAGCCCATCACCCAGTTAGGATCAGGAGGGACAGTCTTGTCTTTTACTGCCGGTCTTGCTAAAGTGTCGCTAGGTGCAGCCAGGACGAGGAAGTGAGCTGGGTGTTTTTAAACACCGTGTAGGTCACCATGTCCCACATGTACCCAACAGCACCCTACCTGCCTGGCCTCACTCCTGAAACCCATACCATCTGGAAAGCAACCGAGCTCTCGGCTAGATCTGTGTGTCCTCGCTGCCCCGCATGTGTCTCCAGCGTCTGTTACAGGAATATCAGCTGTAGGACTCGGAGGGTGTGATGTTCTTTGGGGTAACCCACTGGCCCGTTTTGCCCCAAGCCCTCCATGTCCAAGTCTGCTGTAATCTTGCCACTAAATATACATACACTAAGCACAGCCCAAGCAGGCATTCATGTCAAGTTCTCCACATTCCTTACCTTCAGAGGTGTGGCTCTCAGGGGACCCTCACTGCTCCAGCTCTTTGGGGGAGAAGCTCTCTGTGGCATGGCCGTGACACACTGACCCAGAGGAGGTCAATGCCATCGGCCTGACACTCTGACCCACAGGAGGTCAATGCCATCGGCCTGACTCTCTGACCCAGGGCTGTACAAGGCCCTCGCTTGCATGTTCAGGCTGATTCAATCACCTCCCTGAGGCCTGTTGGGTTCATCTTAAAACCAATCTTTTTCCACCACACATGCTTGTTTAAACTTTCTCAACTCACACTCGCCCGTGAGTCTTCAGTCTCGTCACACACTAAAGCAATCAAACATAAAGCTCAGGACTCAGCACATCTCAGCAGGACGGCTCTGCGTACTTACAGCTTCTCTGCAGGCCAGCTTCTCCGCAGGCCAGCTTCTCTGCAGGCCAGCTTCTCTGCAGGCCAGCTTCTCGGTGCCCACCTCAGTGACAACAGCCAGCAGGGCACATCGCACCACCCCACACCACACCCCCTGCCACACACACATACGAGAGGAGCATACGTACCTTGTGTGACAATGGTTGGTGGTTGTAAGACAATGTGCCTTTGGGCCACACCAACAATGTAGGGCAGTAACTGCTCCTGGAGGTCCCCAAAGTTACGGAATTCCGGGACCATAAACACCAAGTTGTCCTCGGTAGCTATCTGCTGAAGCTCGGCCCGGGAGGCGGCCTGGGCGCCGAGGCCGAACGAAAACACGCTGGCCTGCTTCAGCGCCACCGCCCCGTCGCGAATCTCGTCACTAGACGGGCCAGCGCTTATGAGGACCAGCACCTGGGGCACCCCCTCCTCCACGCGGCTGCCCCCAGCCCGGGTGAAGTGATTTTCCACCACGAACTCCAGGGCCAGGCCGAGGTTGGCCAGCTCCCCGCCAGCAAACCCCAGGGCCTTCACCGCGTCCAGAACCTGGGCCTTGGCGGAGTAGCTGTCCAAGCGGAACATGGTTCTGGGCTCCTGGCTATACTGGACCACCCCCACTCGGATCTGCTGAGCTCCGATCGAGAGTCTGTCAAGCACATTGACAAGGAAGTCGCGAATGACTGCGAAATGAGCACTTCCGGTGTTGTCTGATCCATCAATAAGGAAAAGAACGTCAGCAGAGTCTGGTGCTTGAAAGAAAGAAATGCAAAAACACGTGAAAGCGTTAGGACCGGTGACCACACGCACTCCTCGGAGTGCCGCGTGTTTCTTAGGAAACCCGTAAGAAACACGAGATACAGACACATGAAACACTCGGCGATGGGGGCAGGTGATCTCGTGGGTTCTGCATTCTGAAGGCTACGAGGCAACTTCTCAGACACCACGGCGTGAACGAGGGGTGTCTAGCGCAAGGTTATGTCTGCTCTTTTTTCCACAGGGAAAAATCTCAAGAGCTTGTTGTCCGACTTTCTACTAAATATGCATGGAGTCGTGGCTTCTCATCCACACGGGAGGAGACAGATGACCAGAGTAACAAAACAGTATAAAGGTGACCTCTAAATTTTGGGCATTTCTCCTACTTCCTCGAGGGGTTAGAAGTACTTCCGGTGCAAATCTCAGGTTTTTTCGACTTCTCATCTTATGTGTATCTTTGTAAATCAACAAACTACATTCAAAATTTCAATTTTAAAGATACTTCGGTGAATTTGCGGTTTGTCTTTTTTCACAGGAAGTGTGAAACCCCAGTGTAGGTCTGAGCTCGGCTGGGTGCTTTGTTCATTTGCGCCTTTGCCTCCGTATCCGTCAGGGAATGCAGAACAACATGAAGCAGAGTGATACGAAACCAGTCATGACCTAATTATCCAGTTCATTTTTATGACAGCCTGCACTGATGACCCAGCAGGACCACGAGCATCTTACCAGCCCCTAGTTTGGATAACCTCGGGGTGACGTAAGGGACACAGAGCGGCTGCCCACACTGGTGACAATGAACTTGCCTGTTTCTGAGAATGGGGGCTACACAGAAGCACTGAGCGAGGAATGCTTATACAAACCAAGGGCTCTACAAAGCAGGGCTGTGACTCTGCACAGGTTTCAATAAGGGAAGTTTTGCTCACAACAGCCAGAGTTCTTGTGTAAGCATGGACCTTACATGTGAGGCCGTCCATTTTGATCTTTGAATGTCAATGAATAATTGACATTAACGTTCATGTTTCCTTGTTCTGGTGGAATTGTTTTTATTCTCACTGTGCAAAATAGCACAAATCGTATCTTACTTAAAAGAAAAGAAATCGGAAAGTTTAGCTCTGACGAAGTGGTGAGCTCGTACAGGGACTGCAAGAGCTGGGACAGCAGTGCGCCGGCAGGGAGATGCTGCTGGGCGATCCCTGCTCCGACATCTTGCGAGAAGGATACAACTTTGCAGCAGCAATTACAATGTGTGTGCACAGGTGCACACACACAAACAATAAGATTGGCTTTTCCTTGGGACTCCCAAGTTCCAGCCACTCCCCTGCCGATGTGTAAGATCCCTAGATGAATTCTAGGTTGGCCACAAAAGAATTTACCACACATGCCAAGGCATTTGAGGAAGTTTGAGCTAGGATATGCTTGGTACAGTCCTTCTATAAATAAAACGGTCTGGTTCTGTCTTCTTCACCGATTTCCCCACTTTGGGCAGCAACTTCTAGCAGTGGCACCAAGGAGAAATCCTTAGCCCTCCTCTCCTAAACAGCTGAACATCCATCTCCAGCAGTGGGTCATAAAAATGTTGGATAATTTGTCATCACCGAACATTGTCCTCTGACACACACAACATAAGAAGACACACACAAGCATGCTTTGTTATCCAGAGGAGCCGTGGCTCGGGAGACACAGGAGCCGTGGTTCTCGTGCTCAGCGAGGCAGATCAGGGACCGACATAGCCGTGCGACCCCTGCGGGCTAGCTGCAAGCTTCAGCTTTCACGGCCGCCTGGCTCTCTGCTCTAGTTCTGCAGCGCTCTCTGCTTTCATCTGGGAAAGTTGCGTGAGGCCCAGGGGAAGGGCTGGTCTCCTGGACACACACGTGTGGGTGAAGGCTTACCTAGACCTCGCAATGCCTCTTCACATGGGGAAAAACAGATTCCGTTCATACTCCCTACGCACAACACAAATTTCCATCTTTATGGGCTTTTTTTATTCCTATCTTAAAAACAAATCTCCTTTGAGCTTTCATTTTGGAATTGTAGCTCAGTGCTATCCGTTTCTAGAAGAATACAAAGCTTCCGTGGGAGATTGGGCACTTGGGAAGAGCTTGTTTAAAGCAGCTGTAATCACTAACATAGTGCAAGTGAAACGCTCTTGTTTTATAATCAACAATAGTCCCTGGTAGGCAGGAAGAGAGGAAGACCCTGGGAAGAGGCAGTCTCACTAATTCCTGCCTGCACGCCTTTCCCCAACGCTCTAAGCAGAGGGTTTTGCTTCTGGCAAACATGCAGTGAAACACGGGGCCAGAAGGCTTGCAGCATGGCGCGGATCAGGAAAGGTGACCCGGGTGGCTCCTCCACCCTCGGGCTGCCGGCGGCTGGGACACGAGACGACAGAAATGCTGCCTGGGCATAAAAACAAAGGTTTCATCCTACGTGTGGACACAGGCTGGGGAGATGAACAGGGTCGCTTAGCAGTTGCTGTGGTCATCACAGGGCTTGGCCGCTGATTCAACAGCGAGCCAGAAAGGCAAACCCCACTACTGCTTCCTGTGCATTTGCCCAGACTTCACTGAAAAACTGTGTCCTGAGCTACTGGCCTCTGCCGCTGTCCTCTCGTGTGTCAGGTGTGGCCCCTACATTCAGGCAGTGTAGTGAACCAGGAAGACTGCAGCTCTCCTGCCACGTCCTAATGCTTGCCACCTACCCCTCCTGTAATCGGGAAGGATGGGTGCCTGTCCACGGTGCCAGAGGTCTGGAAACAGGGCAGGCTTCCCAGAGCTAAAGACGAACGAGCTGGCCTGTCTTACTCCCTTCCTGAGGGGACACAGACCCCCTGAGCAGGGCAGCAGCGCTCCTGCCCCCACTAGGGTCAAAGCCTTCCTCTGCCGTGCAGCCTACACGGCCCCAGTCGCCTGTTCACCCTCTGCTCATCCAAGAATTCTGGCTCAAGAAGTTCTGGAATCTTTGATTGCCTTGACAGCATGCTAAGTTGTGCCCTCAGCACACGCCCCATGGTCATCACCAGAGACTGCTGTCTGCATGTGTGGGCTCTCAGCTGCCCAGCCTCCCCATCCGCACTGGCCCCTGTCTGTGACACCTGCAGCTGCCAGGCACAAAATAAGCATCACCTGAAACTCTTCCCACTGCACACTCTACCTTGTCTCCACCCTCAGCAGTTTGCCAGTCTCTTCAACTCCAGTTCCTTCCAAGTCTCCAAGCCTGCCCGTGGAGCCACACACCTGCCGGCCCCGTGGAACACACACCTGCCAGTCCTGTGGAGCCACACACCTGCCTGCCCATGGAGCCACTCACCTGCCAGACGGCCCCACTGGAGCTCCCTGCTTCTCCCACCCAGCCATCTCTGAATCTCAGAAAGGTAACCCCTCGCTTGGCCCAGGACGTGTGGAGTCCCTCTGGAGCCGTCTCTCCCTTCCTCTGTCCGTTTTGCCCAGAGCTCGCTGCCACCTACTGTTACGTGTGACCTCGGACTCTGACACTGGGCAATCCCTCCACCCACAAGGATGACTTGTCCTGGACATCTGTGTTACAGTAGAGACATCTGGGATGCCAGGCTCCTAGGCCTGAAGGGAGAGCTCAGTACGCTTAATGGCCAAGGGGCTCAACACAAGCCACTGCACAGTGGCCTGCTGGTGCCCTGCTCAGGCGCAGTGCCTCGAGCTGGCCCTGTTGGGGACATGAGAATTGCAAGTGTCCCTGTGGACACAGCCATGGTTAACAGCATGGAGGCCACGTGGGAAGCCAGACCCAGGGCCAAGCATGCGGCCTCCACTCCAGCTCCCTTGCTGCCTTCATGTCAGGCGCCATCCAGAACTCAGTGTCTTCCAGGTAGAATCAGGCTGGATCACATCCAGCCCTCGGGTCTTACACTGGGGACACCCAGGTGAACACCCTCTTGCTGCCGTCAGCACCCACACCTCCTGACACAGGGCCCCACCCCTCTCAGAGCAGATGGGAAGGGGATTTCTGAGCTGTCTGCCTGGCCAGGAGAGGCGGTCTTTCCCAGGGGCGGTGGGCTGCTACCAGAGTGTAGTCTTTTTGGAGGAAACCAGCGATCGTTTCAGAGCAAGGACGCCCTGTTGGATGCAGGCGAGCAATCTTTGGGATCTGGGCCCTACAGGGGACATGCAAACCTTTGTTTTTACCCCATGGGTACCCATCTTCTGCCTAGCCCCCTCTGCCTCTGAGCCGCGCGAAGCCTCAAAGCTAGCACTTCGCAAACAGCAGCAGGGCAGGGCACAGCATGGCAAGTAGCCGGTACCTGTGACGTCTTTAAGAGCTGCCGTGTCCCCAGCCCTCTGTGGCCACACAGACGTGCGCACACAGGACACCAGCTGCCCTACCACGTCATGAAGTGAGGTCAGATTCTCTAGGTTGAACACATGCGTATTGAGCGGTGCGCTGGCTAGTTCCCTCAGCGCTCCTTCCTCTGCGTCCTCGACTCCAATTGCATACACATTAACGTCAGCAGACTTAAATTCCGCTGAGGGCAGAGCGAGGCTGCCCTCCGAGCGTCCGTCGGTCACAACTACGATAACCTGAGGGACTCCGGCGGCGGCCCGGCTCCCAGCAGCCGCGGTCAGGTGCTTGCTCATTATGTCCGCTAATCCTTGTCCAGTCCCGTTGCTGCCCCCAGGATAGGACATGTTGGAGATGTGGGAGAGCACCTCTTGCTTAGTATGGTACGTATTGAACAGGAACTCGGTATGTGGGCTTCCGGTGAGCTGGACCAGGGCAAAATGGAAATCATTGCCTCCCTCGGCTAAGGATTCTATCACATCATATAGGAACTGTCGAACAAGTTGGAACTGTTTCGTGGCTGTGCTCCGAGAGGTATCCACTAGAAAGATTATGTCAGCAGCAGAGCCGTTTCTGACATCTTTAAGAGAAGACATGGGTTTAGCTTCATTCTGCTGTTGGACCAACCGCTTCCTCTCAGCGCGACACCTTCCCAGGCCGAGCCAGCATGCGCTCGGCTGTCACAGAGTCATTCACACGCCAGCTGCAGCACTGCCTTACCTGGAGCCTGGTCCACACTCCGCGGCCACCAGGCAGGCCAGGAGCACACTCGGGGCTCCCTTTGAACTCAAAGTTCTTTGAGCCCCAAACACACATGAGCAGCCAGAGGGACCCGGGATCACAGATGAACTGGCCATCTCCTTAAGAACTCACTCTGGGTTGAGACATAAAGCTGGGTCTGGACAGTAAGGAAACGTGAGAGCCGCTAAGGGTGGCCCTTACCTAGCACCCAGTGCCCAGGGTCATTTGCATGGAAAATAAGACACGCATGTCCTTTAGCAAAGAAGCCCTGTGTGTACACAGAGAGGAGGAAGTCTGCATTTTCCTTAGACGTGGAACATGAAGGAAGGGTCTCCGACTAGTTCTACACATTTCAGAAGCAGAGATGTCTGAACCGACACTCGGCAGCCTTCAGCCCCTAGACAGGAGAACCATGGCCCCTCAAGGGACAAGAAGGACACCTCCGACACCTGTGGTCCAGCTGGGCCTTGCGCAGCACCAAGCTGCTGCTCTGAGACCCCAGCCCACATCCCTCCTCCACTGAGTGGGGCCTGGCCTGGCCGGAGAATCCCACCCAGGCATTGGGCCATGGAGAGCTGGACCCGAGCCAGACCCTCGCTGCTTGCCCCGTGCGGAGCATGGCTCGATGTTATCATCCTGTCCAGGTCAACCCTTGATAGGGTTTATCACATTCTGCTTTCTAGACGGCTTTGGTAACGGCTTCTCTAGAGGGCCAGTGACCTGGGTGAAGATGGAGGAGCAGGCAGTCTCTTTGCCAGGGAACACGATGTTCGCTCTCCGTCACTTTCCATGAGCTCAGAGACAGGGCAAAGCCCTTCAAGAAATGCAGCCCTCAAGACTCAAACGCTGCTACACCCAGCACCCAGTGCAGCGACAGAGCAGCACCACTCACACTCCAGGTAGCAAGCCCAGACGTTAAGGAAAGTGACTCTCCCGTGGCATTAGAGTGTCGGTAAAGGGCTGCCACCAACGCCCACCCAAGAGCCCAGCTAGGCTCCACAGCAAGTGCAAGGCTGCCGAAGGACTCTTGTCCACCAATCCAGGGCCATGCCTGGGCCTTACCTGCTTGTTGCTGCTGCTGGGCCTGAGTCACCAAGAGGCCTGAGAGAAAGAGGCACAAAGTGGCCAACAAGGGCAAGTGCCGATGCTTCCTCATTGTGAACTTGTGTGAGCACCAAGTGTGTACCTGAAAGGGAAGGCGGGACAGGGGTCAGATCTTGGCTCTCGTGCTGCAACTCCCTCAAAATCTCACGCATTCTGTGTCCTTTCAACGTTTCCAGGCAACTTCAGCTCCTACTCATTATTGGGGCCAACGGCAAATGAGCAGCTGATAAATGGACAGGTTGATGACAGAGAGGTAGATGGGGGATAGACAGATCAATGATGGAAGGACAGCTGACAGATGGACAAAAATAGATACACACACACTTGTCCATTGTCACACAGAGAGAGAGAAGACTGGGGGAGAAAGATACAAATGCTAACAGGCAAGAGGATGGAAGAGAAAATTCCAGAAACCCCTAATGAACGTGGACACACAAATCCTAAGCACAATGCTGCACCCAAAGGAGGACACACCCCGGTCACGTGGGTCCTACGTCGCACACATGGTGCCGTAAGTGAGAACCAGCTGGAGCAACACACCACATGAATGCAGGAAACGAGCTATGCAACAAAACTCAGCACAGAATAAACTCAACACACCAGGAATGGAGGGAAACTGCCTCCACGGAGAGGAGAGCACCTACGAAGACGCCACAGCCAACATCACACACAGTGGCAAGAAAGATCCAGAAAAGGGAAACAGGCCACCTTAGTCAGGCAAGAAACGGAAATAAAATGCATCGAAACTGGAAAGGAAGAACTGGAATTCCCTCTTCTTGCCAATGACACAATATCATATGCAGAAAAAGCTACACATCTGGGCTAGCTGTGTGGCACAGTGGGCAGAGCCACCACCTGCAATGAAGACCCCAAACAGTGCTGACTCGAGTCCCGGTGCTCACTTCTGCTCCAACTTACTGCTAACATGCCTGGCAAAGCAGCAGGCGGCCAAGTGCTTGGATCCTTGTGCCTGCATGGGAGCCCCGCTCCAGCCTTTGTGGCCACTGGGGGAATGAACCAGAAGTTGGAAGTGTCTCTCTCTTAGTCTGCCTTTCAAATAAATAAATATTTTAAAGGAAAATGCTGAAAACAGCGTGACTTCTATGTAAAACAGTATAGATTCCTCAAAATTTGTAGTTACAGCATGATCCAGCAATCGTCTTTGGGGCTCTGTGTCCAAAAGAATTGGAAATAAGACCTCACTGAGATGCTGTGCAGCCATGTTCCTTCTGGCGTTACTCAGCGTCTCCGAGAAGTAGAAATACCTAAAACACCCCTGAACAGAAAAAACGTGCTGTGCACAAACAATAAAATATTAGCTAGGCTTAAGAAAAGAAAATGCTAATATCGCTAGAACACAGGTGAAGCTTTTTAAAATATATGTTTATTTTAGTTACTTGCAAGGCAGAGTTAATGAGAGAGAGGTGTCTCCCACATGCAGGTTTATTGCACAAATGGCCACAGGACGGCTGGGCCAACCTGGACACAGGAACCAGGAGCTGCTTGTGGGTCTCCCACATGTGTACAGGGGCCCAACAACTGGAGCTTCTTCTTTCCAGGCACGTTGGCTGCCCCGAGACAAGCCAGCACCTCCATGGGATGCTGCGGTGCAGGTCGTGGCCTTATCTGCTAGGCCGCCATTCCGGTGTGACGCCAGCCGGTCACCAGAGCACAGACAGGACCTGATGCCACTCACACGTCTGGGAGTCCCTCTCCCAGAACCAGTCAGAGGGGAAGAGTGTTGGATGCCTAAGACATTCCCGCACAATCAGAAGATTCCTGGGATTGATCCCGCAACAAGGTGCCCACAGCTGGCACACTTCAGAGAGGGTGGGGGCAGGACAAACCGCACGCTAAGAGCCTGCTGTGGCTGTGTACCGCTAAAGCACGGCCAGCGAGGTCACAGGAGTGACAGTGGCATCTCTTCTGAGGCATGATGAGATGGAAGGGCTCAGCGTGGGGCAGGCGAGGCGCTGCAGCAGGCCAGGCCACGGCCGAGACAGCAGCCCCATAGCGGAGCCCCAGGTGGAATCCTGGCCTCCAGGTTTCCCATCCAGCTCCCTGCCTGGGACAGCTGCAAACGGTGTCTCAGCTGCCTGAGCCTCTGTGACCCACGGGGGACCATATAGAGTTCCTGGCGCCCAATTTCAGCCTGGCCCAGCCTCCGCTGTGGAGTAAATTATCGGATGGAAGATCTCTACCTATGTATCAGTCACTGCCTTTCAAAGAAATAAATCCTTTCAAAAAAACTAAAAGGTAAAAAATTAAGTTTGTGCCTAGTGCTCAATTAACACTGTTAATGACAGGATGAAACAGGTTGATAGACACACACACACAGGGGAGATAACACATACAGATAACGCACAGGGAGATGAGCTTACCCCTAAGTAAAGTTTTGAAAAAAAGGAAAGCAGCACGTATGACCGCAAGGGTTAGGGTTTGCAGACGAGCCTTGAGCGAGCCTGTCGGGTGCACCCTGAGCTGGTGTGAGCTGCTTCCTCTCGAGGGGTCCCCTCTGAGCCGTGCAGTGGGCCTCACCAGCGACCTCAGCCGCTGCGCCTCCAGCTTGCCTTCTGTCCCCCTTCAGCCCCATAGACCCTATAGTTCTACAAAGTGCCATCTGCTGTGCCAGGCAGGATTCTGTCCTCCACGCACACCCCGGAAGCCAGTAACAGGGTCGGTCTGACGCTCTCCACCTTGCCATGTAGAGAAAAAGCCTGCCTGGCAGGTTAGTGACGCAGCCTTGCCACACACAAGGCAGGGGACGCGAGTCCACACCGGCCACACAGGTGGCAGGGAGGGCCCCACAGATGTGGTACCAAGAGAAGCTGGAGCTCAGGGTGGCCCTCAGAACCCAGGCTGGGCACAGAAACAAGCGCTGCAGCCCCTGCATCACGGCCCAGCATCACGGAGACACGCAAGTGTGGGCCCTAGGCTCGGCCTGCCAGACGGGGTGGGATGGTGAGAGAGGACACCGCAATACCCACCAGGCTTTGGATTTCCAAGGGAAATCAGAAAATGCATCACCGGCAACAGAGCGAAGCAGGCCTGTGGCCCAGATTCAGGGAACCGGGAGACACGACTCAGCAGCTAAAGCAGAAGCACCTGCTGAACCTCATCCTGGGAATGTTTCAGTAAACAGCAGGCAATGTTGTCCAAAAGACGTCCAGGGTATATTTCTTCCTGCACAAAAGTGGCAGCGATGGGTGATGACGGGGCAGCCCTGGAAAGGCAGCGCAGCCTTGGCTTGAAGCGGCCAGCGGCTGTTGGGCTGACACAACCCGCAGAGGTGCGTCGGCTTGACAGTGTCCCCCGGTTCTGGCCACCCCGGGGCCCAGGCCCTGCCCTCGCACAGCGTGGAAACTTGTGCTCAGCTGGCTGTCGGTCCCTGCCGCTGAGGCTGACTCCAGGCCCTGCAGCCCAGCCCCGCCCCTCCACTCTCGAGGAATGCCTGGAGCTCGGGCTCCACCCTGGAAATCCTCCAGACCTTCCCATGAGCTCCTGCTTCCTGCTCATGTCCTGGTGTGTCCCTTTAAGAGGACCAAAGCAGGTGCAATGTCCGTGAACAGAGTGTGTCCTCAAATAGTGATGTCATCCACTGTGAAACGATACAACACACTGCATGTGCGTTCTCTAACACTCAACGTGAGATTTTCAATCAAGAGTCTTTCCAGAAATGCATCCAGCTCTTGCCACAACAACCTATGCTGCTGGGATTGATCCAATCTGTTGTAATGTGATATTCACAGAGTTGAAGGGTCAATGATTCACTCACAACTGTGTGCAAAATTGTGTCCAAGGAAGTGGGGTTTCTGGAGACATGCCCACATTCAGCTGGGATTCGTAAGGCGGCTCTACCATCACTCATTCCTGCTTCAATCAAAGATTTGCAAATCTTCTGGAAGATCCAGGTTAATTATTCCCCGTATCTAACCCATGCGTGCGAGGTGCAGTTTTAAGTCATGTTTCTGAGAGTCAGAGCACAACAGGCCTGCAGGGCCTTGAGGCCGAGCTTTGAGACAAATCAGGCAGTTCAAATGGGAAAAACCAGGACACGCTGGGAGAGCTTGGTGATGGAGCCTGGGCTGTGAGGAGCTGCAGACCGCCCCAAGGCGGAGAGGCACCTGGCAGCTTGGGCTCACGCTGGGCTCACCATCCCCACCTCTCCCATACCGGCTCTCTCAGACCCAAGTCTGTCACAGAGAAAGCCATGAATGGAGTCACGTGGAGCAATTTCAAAATATTTTCCCATCTCTTAGCAGCACTCAGCAAAACGCTAAAGAGCGAGAGGAGGAAGTCCACACAGCCTCACCCGGCTGTCCCGCTACCCGCCACGTCAAGGAAGGACACCTCTCCCCCATAAAGTGCTTCACACTGGGACAAAAAGCAAGGCGCTGCTCAGTGCTCAGAAACTGTTTATCCCAGATTCCCTGCAGAAACGGAGGTGAGAGCGGGAGGCGAGAGGGGGAGGCGAGAGCGGGAGGCGGGACGGGGGAGGGGTGCAGTGCTGACGCCTGCCGGGTAACGGGCTGTCCAGGCCCCTGGTGAGTCATCCACCCACAGGGCCAGTGGAGCTGAATTCCTGGGTGGGAGGCCACTCTGGGCCCCATGCGTTCCTTCCTGCCCCATGCGCTCCAGAGCCAACCATGTGGCCCGGGGCGTCACACAGCTGTGGAGTATTGTCAAAGGTTTTTGCTGGCAATTAAATCCGTTCTATTGTTTCTCATGTCCTGGAGTCCCAGTTTTTAAAATTGAATTTCCTGGCTGCAAATCCTGGAGGGTTTTTTCATTCTAGAAGAGCAGCAGCTGTCCTCGCCCTCCCCTAGACGACCACGCTGCGGACACATTTCAGTGGAGGAAGAGCAAGCTACCCCCCACACCCCCAGGCCCCCTCCCACCCCAGCCCCCGAGGCAGATGGCAGAGAGCTCCAGGACGAATTTTTGTGTCTCGCCCAGCAGTCCAGGAGTGACTTTGGTCCATCTTGCACCTGAGAACCTACCAACAACTGTCTCACAGCACAACAAGGCGGGCCCAGAGTGCTAACTCAAGCC